TGAGATCATGAAGGATGAGGGAGTGTCGGCTGAGGAAGTCGATGAGGCCTGGGTGGATATTAAAGCACGCCGTGAGGAGGCTGAAAGGCGAGAAGTAGAACGTCGCGAGCGCGAGGAGGCCGAGAGACAGGAGCGCCTTGAGATGAAACGACTAGAATTGGCAATCCTACAGTGTTCGCAGGCGCCTAGCGTAGCTTCCCCGACGATTCAGGTCAGCGGTTTTAGAATTCGGGACCAACTGCCACCGTTCGTAGCAGGCGAGGACATGGCGAAGTATCTCGTCAAGTTTGAACACGTCTGTGAGCGAAACGCTTTGGAGCGGCCTCTTTGGGCGCGGAACCTGCTAGCTCTTCTTCCCGGCGAAGTGTCCGACGCGATAACTTGCTTGTCGAGGGAAGCGTTTGAGAGCTATGACGAGGTTAAGGAAGTGCTCTTTAGACGTTATAAGTTGTCACCCGAGGCTTTCAGGCAAAGGTTCCGGTATGCTAGAAAGGGGAATAAGTCACACGTTGACTTCGCGTTTCGTCTTAAAGCCGATTTGATTGAATGGCTCAAGGGCGAAGGTGTTTATGACGACCGCGATAAAGTGGTGGAATGCGTTGCATTGGAGCAATTCTACCGCTGCATCGAGGAGGATGTCAAACTTTGGCTGCAGGACAGACTTGGGGAAGTACAGTTAAGCAAGGCAGCTGAGTTAGCTGAGGAGTATTATACTCGCCGAAAGTTGCATAGCAGGGCAGTGCGCGTTGAAAAGGATGAAAGGAAAGAGGGCTTTTCAAGGAAACCTGATCAACGGAAACCCGTTCCGCACCGTAATTTCAAGAATGACCCGTCTCTTACGAAGGACAGTGTAGGGGAAGGGCAAACAGAAGCGGAGAAATCGAGTGAGGTTTCTACCACACAGGCATTTGAATCAGAAAACAAACGGAAGCCGCTAATCTGCTACAACTGCAAAAAGGAAGGACACATCGCGAGAAACTGTCAGGAAAAGTTTGCCTTCGCAACGATCCGAGAATCAGAAAAAAACATTCGGTTGTTGGAGCCGTATCTCCAAGAAATTAGGGTGAATGAGAAAACGTGCCGAGCACTTAGAGACTCAGCGGCAACCATGGACGTTGTCCATCCTTCATTGGTGTCTCCGGATGACTTCACAGGAGAATGCGCGTGGATCAGGCAGGTCCCCGAGGAGCAGAATGTTCGCTTACCAATCGCCACGGTTGTCATTAAAGGCCCGTTCGGTGAGCTTCGCACCGAAGCGGCTGTGTCTGCCGCGCTAAATGATCGTTTTCCTTATCTTTTCTCCAACAACTCGGAGCAGCTTCTCAAAGAGCAGGGCAAATCGTTCTTCCCCAACTTAGCGTGCATGGCTCTCACACGATCGCAAGCGCGGAAGCTATCGTGGCAGCTTGATCTGGTTCCATGCGGTGAACTCTCAAGTGACCTTGTCGGCGGGTCGACGGAACCCCAGAAAGGAAAGTTTCCGCATGAGTCATGTGAGCAGTCACGCGAGCGGCCCGTCGCCGAACCGACCGGCGCGGTTTCCGTAGAAAGGGGAGACGACATGGCGCCATTGAGTCAGAGCGAGAGGGTTGCAACGCTCTCGCCTGTAGCGGAAAGTTGGAGCGAGCTGCCGAGAGTTGATCGAGAGACGCTCATTCGAGAGCAGCGTGAGGATCTCTCGATTGAAGCGCTAGTGGAAAGCCAAATTGAAGCGCTAGTGGAAAGCCAGAAAAACGCGGCAAAAGTGCTGTCGAAGGAGCACTACGAGGAATCGGTGAAGAAGCGTGCTTTTGAAGTAGGGAGTCAGGTAATGCTGCTGCAGCCGTTCAAAAGAACAAGCTTGAGGTTGATTGGGAAGGGCCCGCCAAAGTATTATCGAAGCCTTGCGATACAAATTATGAAGTGAAATTAGGAAGGCGGCCGGACAAAATTTACAACTTGATGAAACCATACGTTCAACATCAAGCGGTCGTAAATCTGTTGTTGAATGCTTCAAAGGAAGAGGAAGCAGAAATTTTGAGTTCTAGTGAGGTAATTGAAGGGGGATCGAAAGTAATCCGGGAGCAGATAAACCCAGAGCCTAGCTTAAGTGAAGGAGGACCTGAGAAAGAGGACCTGAGAAAGATTGGTTCCGAGTTTGAAGACGTGTTTTCGGACCGCCCCGGAAACACGAGGGTGATCGAACACGATATCGAGCTAAGCGGTGAGGAGTCAATCCGTAGCAAGCCGTATCGTTGTTCCCCTGTGCAACGTCGAAAGTGTGAGCCGCTCTTGGTGCCGCATAGGTATCGTCGCCTAAAAGTGGCCGGTTACTGAGGTGGAGCACGTTGCTCCACAGCGCAACTTTGACGTTCGCTAAAAAAAAAAAGGAAAGCTAAACGCTAATGGAGGTGCATTGAGCAGTGCGTTCTAGCTAGTACCTTCTCAACCTTTCGGTTTCTGGCTGGCGATTCGGGGCAAAATTTTGACCTCATCACGACCTGGGCTGAGCGCTCTCGTTCAGAGTGATCTCAAGGGGCCAACTTTATGTGGTATTCTAATTCGTTGCGTTGTTGTAATTGTGAAAAATTCAAGTTCTTACTTTAGGAGTCTTGTGTCCCACATGTGCCTCTTGATGTAGAGGGAACAAAATTCCGATAGACACGTAGATAGGTATATGTTGTACTATACTTTGTCTGGTGTTCTGTCGGGTGACCGAGGGCACTTGCGTGTGTCGTGTGTTGTCTGTTGTCGAACCGTTCTTAGCAAGTTGCAGAACCATCGTCAAGTGCTGAAACCGAAAATGGTCAGAAGAGACGAGCGAAGTTGGCCAGCAAGTTGTGGCGACAAGCCAGTGGAGCTGGGATCCGTCGTCAAAAATGGGATGTGTTTCCGGAACAGTCTGAAGCTGTATTCTCCCCATGGCCCTGGAGGCGAACCTGGAGGGACCTGGCGAACGAGCGCACCTGACATCCGAGCCCCGTGGAAGCAGCTCGTCTTTCCGGTGCATTGTCTGGCGGCGGGGGTGCTGTTATGCCAGCGAGTCCTCGTCAAACGTCCGTGCCTCTGAAAAAGGCAATCTGGGTCAAGGCCAGCCCGCAGTCCGCCTGACACGAACAACTCAACGGCGTAAACACGCGCGGCGCCTCTCTGGCCCACGTGCAGTGAGTCAGTAGCGCACGTGACAGCGAGCCGGCGTCCTCGTGTCTGGGGGTAACGTGGCCCAGCGGCGACCCCATTGGAGGAATCTGCCCTGACGACCAGCGGCGCGTCTGATTGGACATTTTGGTTGGACCCGGTGCAAATAAAAGAAGCCCTGCGGCGCGTCGCGATCGGCGGTCCTATGAGAGAGGAGTCCCCATGTCGGAGAGCCGACATGTGTGTGAGTCGGCGGTCTTAGGCGAAAAGTTGACCTATGTGTTAGAGAGGAGAGCTCGGCTCTTCGAGTCTCTGTCGGCCCCAGTGCCGAAATTGTAACGCCTCTGTATATATGCTGTACATAAACCTTGTTTAACTCACCGTCGTCTCGTCCGCTCGTCTTATCAGCTCTGCGCAGAAGCAGTCGCGAGCTGAGAAACATACGCTACCAAACGGCTGGTGACCTTCCCGGCGGAGTTGAAAGCAGTGGCGCTTTCGGGACCGTGTTGGCGTCCCCGTCTTTCGCAACAGGGCGCAGATGGCGCAGATTTGTCATTCTGCCCTCAAACTACACGGTGAAGCGTGCTACTAAGTGTATGGCTGATGAGAAGCGCGTCTGGGTCCGCTTTTTTTTCTTCTCCGATATATCTGGGCGGGGGGGGGGGGGGGCTCCTTATGCACGTGTTTCGGTGCTTGATCGACTTTGACGCCCTTACTTCGCGGACGAACGGCGTGTCTAGGCTTTTTTTATCGTTGTTTTGCACGTATTTCGGCGTTCGGTCCGCTTTGACGTGCCAACTCTCCATTCTGCTGCTGCGTGTGTTAGGTATTTGCCGTACTGTATTCTCAGGCCTTCTGTGTTCAGCCAGCGCTGCTATCTTATTATCTACGGATGCTAAAATAAATCACTGTTTTGGTTTGGTGAAGTTTGGCACACAGAACAAATAATAATCTGGCCCATGAATGCCAATGTGGGCGGCATGCATATTTGTGTGCGGTGTCCTGCCGGGGAGTAACCGTTGCGTGACGAGAGCATTTACAGCGGTTCCTCCTTCCGTTGCTCCCTTACAAACTTAAGATGAATACAGTTGCTCCCCCATTCTCAACCAAGTCGGCCATCTTGTTCCGCTTGGTCTTTTCGGAGAGTAACAGTCGGTCTGAAGGAGTAAAAACAGCCGTTGCTCCCATTTTGGCCATTTTTGGCTTAGAGTGTACAATCAACCCGCTCTTGTGCTTTTTGCTGCCAGGTTATCCATCGGCCTACCTAACATTATGTCTCCCCGTCGTGCGTTTGCCTTCTCTAGAAATCTAGTCAGTTAACCTTAATGACCAGCGGTTATCCTGCCTACGTGCTACGTGCCCGGCCCATGTCCATTTCTTCTTGATTTTAACAGATATCCTTAATCCTGGTTCGTTCCCTGACACATTCCGCTCTCTCGTCTCCTAAGGTTGCACCTATCAATTATTTTTCCATTGCTCACTGCGTCATCCTTCGTTTTAGCTCGACCCTCTTTGTAAGTTTCGAGGTTTCTGTTCTATATACTTAAGTACCGGCAAGGTACAGCTGTTATATACGTTCCTCTTGAGGGTTAGTGGTAAATTACTATTCTTGATTTGAGAATGGTTGCCGAATGTGATCCACCTCATCCTTATTCTTCTAGTTATTTCACTCTCATGTGACAGTGCAGTAATACACACTGCACGTCAAACAAAATGAACCAACAGTCGTGCGCCTTGTGAACGTTCTTGCAACGTTGTTCCACATAAACCCAACCTCTTGTCTTCAGCTGGAAGATCACTATGCATCCCAGGTAGAGTGACCTATCCAAGCAGTAAGTACAGTGATGCTTCTTTGTTCCAAAAAATTAATTTAGTCGGCAGAGATCACGGAGTGATTTTGCATGTAGCTGCATGGTACAGGCTGGGTCTTCAATGATGATGGCTTGGCATTTGAAGTACAAATTTTACTCGTAGGTGCAGTCTTTGACGCTAAGGAATGCCGTTTTTTTTTTGTCCACCGAGATTACAAGCCTGCGCCCAACCTACAAGAAATCAATAAAGAATGAAAAAAGAGTAAGGAACGGCAGCAAGAATAAGTTGTCGTGCTGAATTGTTTTGAAACGTTCATACTTTGCCAGCAACGGGTGCGTGACTTACACTTCAGTGCCCCGAAAAATCCCCACTAACCAAACAATTTGAACAACATTTTCATCGATGTGCGCTATGTAGTTACCGATGCTTCAATATGTATGGTTGCATCAATTACCGGTACAGCTTTTAGTTTAACTGGCAATGTCAAAAGAGCATACGCAAACACAGTTCTGTCGCTGATTTTTTTTTACACCATGTCGCCAAACGTGTGCAGCTTAGAGGATGTCAAGTGCAGGCTATGTGTGATGTGGCATGATTGAGTGAGACAGGCTTAAAGTAGGCTTTTCTATATATTACATATCTTAATTTCAAATACTATATGATAGTAACCAAATATAGGCGTGCGCAGGGCTCCCCTTCAGGAGGGGCCTTCTTAGGTTATCAAGGAGGGGGGGGAGCAGCCAGATCCTGCTTCCCCGTGTGCACGCCTATGATAATACCAACAGCATATGGCATCTCTATTAAGGCCGCTGAATTTATCTCAACCTCAAATTTTCGTTATCCCAATATTTCATAAATAAAAAGATAACGTAGCATTTTAACATTTTTCAGCGACTCTCTTTCTCGTGCAAATTTATTCCCGCAGCTCCCTACATCTCCACCACTAATCACCAGGAATACAACGCACACTCATATTGCAGGAGTAATAACATATTTGCGCTCACTTCTAGTATTATTATTACGTGTGTTGAACGTCCTATACTGGGCTGCATTGTTGGCATCAAGAAATTAGCTTCTTACAAAATGGTACCGTACCTTAGTGAGCAAACCTGTCATTTGATCTATTAGCGAATTGACACGACATGTCAGGGAACGTTACAGAATTACTTACCCACGGATTCAGTTTCCAGAGACGAGGCTCAGAAGGGCTTTCCTGTAGTCACCCGAGGTGTCACTCTGCGTTGCCGAAATAGTACAAGTGTCAATATTTCCACAAATGTGGCTTTAGGCCGCGATTGCGCGAAATAGGTGCACAATAATTCTCTGCCGAAATGAATAAAGTCAAGTCAAGTCAAGTCAAATTTTATTTACAACATGCACGAAGTACAATGTTGAAGGCAACACTAGCAAGAAAGCTGTGTCTATGCAGCTTGACGAGGCCAGAAGGCCGCAACCAGGCAACAGCAGCATTGCACACATGGGCACTAAAAACAATGCTTTTCGTTGTTGCAAATGTATACGTATAAATACATGGGTGCGCACTCTGAACAAGTCATAATTATACGTATGAAAAGTGAATAATGCAGCAGTAAAAAAGATAAAGAAGAGAAAAAAGAAACTAGAGCATGCATGCGATGAATACATTGTAAAAACATTGATACAAGGTAAATGTGCAAGCTTTACGCATAAATTTGAAATTTATCAAAGAGAAAGACATCAAGTAAGTGCTTGCGTGGTAGTGACGTTTCTGTACTTGCGCACTTCTGTAATTGAACTGTTTGGGCACATTGTAGCTCAAGACTTGAGTGCAGTAGTTTGTTCGATGGTGCTTTATGAACCACTTTTCGGGAGCTCGTGTTAGTCGGGTGTGTGTCGCTCTAAGAGGGCTAACAAATTCTTTAGAAACTGCACAGTTTTTTTTCTGTCGGGAAGCCTACCAACATGGGCGAGAGTTTTTCAATCTATTGGTAATAAATGAAATACTTACTGTACAAAGCTAGCTCTTCTGATGAGATGGTGTATATATAGACGCACAAATATTGCCTGTTTTTTTTGTTGTTTCGCGTTATTTGAAATCTGCAGACTTTTCTGCACCAGAATCAGGCATTTGTTTGTCTCAGTGTGTTTTTTTTTCTTCTCTGAAAATGATATGTTTCAGAACTTGTGCTGTGGCCTACAATGCTCCCAATCTTACGTCGCAAGAAACTTCTTGCCGTTCAGGCATTGTAGCCGTATGGAGAGGTTACAGTTTACAAGCGGGAGTGCATTTGGCACATTAAGAAAATAATGGGCTCAGAACTTCAAAAATGAAAGAAGGCAGAGACATGAAACTTTCTGTCGGGAAATTTATATCTCGCCGGGGATGTCTTAGGGGTGTCATCATTGGCAGGCTCGAAACCTTTCGCCCATTAAAAAAGAGAGCCAGCTTGGAGCACATCTGAAAAGCTCTACTGGCACCATATTTTCACGTGACACCAAAGGATGCCAATCCATCCAACGGCCTTTGCCCGATGCATGGACGCCGAAACTTGGGGTGAATTCAACAAAACCCAGTTGAATGGTGAACCATTTGTTCGTGAAAAACACTTTCCAGCATCTCGTACTGAGGCTGTTAAGTTAAACTATCTGGAACAAGCTCATCCCGAATTTCTTGCTTAATGCATCCGTGGGAAAGCTGAAAACCCTAACGAGTCGTCGAATCGTGTGGCAGCCCGCTCCGAAAATAGTTTTCTTCGGTCACCGAACAATAAAAATATGCGCTTATGATGCTGTGCTCACTTCTAATGATGGCAATATAGCCTATGTGAATATGGTGAACAATTATCTCATCTATTTTTTAGTGCCTAGGTGAACGCTCTTTTCAGGCCGTCCAGCGTGCACTCTGCCTTGACATCAGGTCAAGTAAACATGCTACTGCGTCAGTGCGTTTACGCGTGTACAAGCGTGTTTCAGAATGCACCCCAACATGGGAGCAACCGTAGTATAGAAGGCAGGACGATTTTTCCCTAGGCGGCTCCAATACCTTCGCTATTACCTACTCTGCACAGATGACGTGCTCTATAGTATTAGAACCGGTGGCGTCCACAACACACCCACCTGTATGAAGCTTTCGAGCGTAGCCTTGTAGTTTCTGTGGAATTCCTCCTTGATAGGGATCATGTCGACTTCACACCGGGAAACTATTATTCTAATGAGCGCCCTATCGTTAGTTCCAAAACCCTGCAAAAATAAAGCGAGTGAACACACGTTAACCTTTTCACTAGTACAGCTTAACAATGAAAGTATCTGTTATGTATTGGTATCTACACAAACACCTTGATTTTCCTACATCTCTCTCTCATTTACACACTCGGAGATGATGGAGCAACTGCCGTGTACACGTTTATAACGCCGCGTACATCTCGCGGAAGCAGCACAGTTGTGGCACAGTTGAAAAGATATTTTTATTGTTTTTACCTTATCTTGACTCTCATGAGAACGCAAGCTCATGATCACTAATGAATAGGCTCTTCAAACGTCCATTGTTATTTCATGGCTTCCGCAGTAATATACAGTTTCATAGTTAATTCATCATTGCCTTCGAGAGGCCTAAGATTATTCACTATTGGTGAGTGTGAAAGCAGCGGGCGGCTGGTTTCTTTTAGTAAATGCAGTAATACAATAGAAAAAAAGATTACACTAACAAAATTAGCAGATGTATGGTAGTTAGTCATGGGTCCTGGATGTGGAGAACAGTTTTTTTTCACCTGAAGTCTCACGTTAGCAGCAGTGCTTTAACAAGCTGAGGCGTGTCAAAGAGGAGAGATGCGCAATGGCGCAATCATTGAGGTGGTAGCCTTATAGACAAAGCTTTTTTATATATATTTTCCTGGGGCCTTAAGCAATTCACTGCGGTACAGCCAAGGCAGCTACTTACTTATGAAGACGCAGTATATGGGAGTTAAAAAGTCGCAGAGACGCTGTTATTTCGGCAAAGCACTTCGTGTTATGACTAAACTCCCCGCCCCCCTCCTCCACTTTTTAAGGAGCCCGGCATGCTATTCCTCATTGAACGGCTGCTGATAAGTATGCACAGTAAAAAAAAAATCAGTTTTTTTTTTGTCAGCCCTTCATAACGTTTACCATGGTGCAACCTCAGTATCAGATCAAACAAGCAGGTTTCGTTTAGGTCTTTCTGGGAAATGAAAATTCATCATGAAAATCTATGCGAGAATGATATATGAACCTGTCCGTAACGCTAGTTAAAATTCCGACACAAATGATCTTGCGATGGCTGCAAACGTTCATGTAATTAGCACTGAAACACTGTAGCGACATACCTCGTAGTCACCGCCTTATCGCGTTAAAGTATGAGCCGTGTGCTGAAGGTGCACCTGCGGACCTCTCTATCGCGCTGCTCTGTTGGCAGCGCGCACTGTACCAGTGAGGTACTCTAGTTTCTCAACGCCGAGGTTGAATTATCCATGTGCGAGTGAAAGCGTGCGAGGGATGCCGATGATCGTGGCTCAAGCGGAGAAGAGACGTACCCCGGCTGTTTCCGTCACACGAAAGGCGCATGGAGGCAGGGGCGAATCCAGCCAGTCATTTTTTTTTGGGGGGGGGGCGCTTAAAGTAACACCAGAAAGAATGGTGTGGTCATTCTTTTTAGTTTTTTACTAGCAGAAAAACTTTATCATAACATATTGTCACGAACAAAACAAGACCTGCAGCCAGGAGTTCACTTGAACCAGAGCAACGAAGATGTTCTCTTCTTCTTCGCGCCCAAAAACGCGTATGAGCCACAGTGGCTCGTTCATCAATGGTGGCATTACCCCCTCTCCCAAGAAGCATCGTCTCGATGCTGTACATGAAGGCAAAAAAAAGAAAAGAAAATTAGATGAAAATTAGCATGCGAGCAAAATGAATGGCGTAAGGCGGAATAACGTAGTTGGTTGTGGGGACAAAAGTTAGAGAAATAAGAAAAATAGGAAAAATGTAAGGAAAAGACGAAACAAAAAGAAAGACGCGAAGTTACTAATAAAGTCAGTCACTCCCTGGCGATTCACAGCGCGAAAAGTATGGTTTGAGACGTGAAACGTGAATGACTTCAGTTTTCGGGGTGAAACGGGAACGTCTCGAATTGCCTTGTGGGAGAACCTCGTAAGTGACGTCATTGAGACGTCGCACAACCTTGTAAGGGCCGAAGTAGCGGCGAAGAAGCTTTTCGGAACGTCCACGCTGTCGGATAGGTGTCCACACCCAGACTTCATCACCTGGCTTAAAAATAACTTCACGGTGGCGAAGATTGTAGCGGCGCGCGTCTGAGGTTTGGTGACGTTGAATGCGGTGACGAGCAAGTTGACGGGCCTCTTCTGCGCACTGCGCGAATTTGGCGGCATCCGTGTGGTATATTCCTAAGTTGGCGGGCAGGAGCATGGCGTCGAGCATCGTCGTGACGTCACGACCGTGGACTAAGCGAAAAGGCGTGAAACCGGTACTTTCTTGAACAGCAGTGTTATACGCAAAAGTTACGTAGGGAAGTATGGTGTCCCAGTTCTTGTGATCGATGTCCACATACATTGACAGCATGTCTGCAATTGTCTTGATGAGTCGTTCAGTCAGCCCATTTGTTTGCGGGTGGTAAGCCGTTGTTTTACGATGTTCCGTGCCACTTAATCACAAGACTTCCTGCAGCATCTCTGCGGTGAATGCTGTCCCACGATCAGTTATGACGACAGCTAAAGCACCGTGACGTAAGACGATGCTGTTAACAAAAAATTGGGCGACATCTGCTGCGGTGGCTTTTGGAAGTGCCTTGGTTTCACAGTAGCGTGTTAAGTAGTCTGTAGCGACGACAATCCACCGGTTTCCAGACGAAGACGTGGGGAATGACCCCAGCAAGTCCATGCCAATCTGATGAAAGGGCGCCTTTGGTGGGCCAATTGGGTGCAGTAGTCCCGCTGGTCGTAAAGGTGGAATCTTACGTCGCTGACAGTCGCGACATGTGCGAACGTAGTGCTTCACAGTCTTCGCGAGACGTGGCCAGTAGTAGGAGCGTTGAATCCGTTGCAGCGTGCGCGTATAGCCGAGGTGTCCGGATGATGGCTCATCGTGACACGCACGTAAAATGTCACCATGAAGCGTAGTTGGCACAACAAGCAGATACATAGCTTGTGTAGGATGAAAGTTCTTTTTATAAAGCACTCTATCACGGAAACAAAAGGAAGATAGTGAGCGCGCAAAGCTTCGAGGAAGGTGGGAATTGCGTCCTTCCAGGTAGTCAATGAGCGGGATGAGCTCCGAGTCATGACGCTGTTGCTCCGCTAAGCTGGTCGCTGATACGGCAGAAAGAAAAGTGTCGTCGTCTTCAAGGTCAGTGTTGGCATTTTCGACCGGTGCACGTGAGAGACAGTCGGCGTCGGTGTGTTTCCGCCCAGATTTGTGGACGATGGTGACATCGAAATCTTGTAGCCGAAGGCTCCATCGTGCTAGACGACCTGAGGGATCTTTGAGATTCGCGAGCCAACAAAGGGAATGGTGGTCGCTAACTACCCTGAATGGGCGGCCATACAAGTATGGGCGGAACTTTGTTATGGCCCAGACAACAGCGAGGCATTCCTTTTCGGTTGCAGAATAGTTTTTCTCCGCTGGGGATAACGTTCTGCTCGCATAAGCGATCACGCGCTCTATGCCATTTTGCCACTGAACTAATACCGCTCCTAGTCCAACGTTGCTGGCGTCAGTGTGTAATTCCGTGTCAGCGCTTTCGTCAAAATGACCTAGTACAGGTGGAGCCTGGAGGAGGTTTCGGAGGGTGTCGAACGCATGGCACTGATCGGGACCCCAAACAAACGAGACACCATCTTTTGTAAGCTTGTTGAGGGGTTCAGCAATCTTCGAGAAGTTTTTGACAAAGCGCCTGTAATACGCACAGAGCCCCAGAAATCGGCGGAGGTCGCGCTTATTTGTGGGCACGGGAAAGGTGGCAACGGCGCGGGTTTTCTCGGGATCTGGGCGTATGCCACCATGGCTCACAACGTGACCAAGGAACTTCAGTTCTTCATATCTAAAATGACATTTGTCGGGTTTGAGAGACAACCCCGCTGTTCTAATTGCCTGAAGAACTGCATAAAGGCGTTGGACGTGTTGTTCAAACGTGTCTGCAAAGACCACGACGTCATCAAGATAAACAAGGCATGATTGCCATTTGAGCCCCGTGAGAACCGTATCCATCATTCTTTGAAAAGTAGCTGGTGCTGGGCATAGACCGAAAGGCAACACTTTAAACTCGTACAGACCGTCGGGAGTAATAAACGCCGTCTTTTCGCGGTCGCGCTCGTCCACTGCGATTTGCCAGTAGCCGCTACGCAAATCCATGGAGGAAAAATATTTAGCGTTGCGTATACGGTCCAACGAGTCATCTATCCGGGGTAGAGGATAAACGTCCTTTTTGGTGACCTTGTTCAGTTTACGGTAATCAACGCAAAAACGCAACGTACCATCCTTCTTCTTTACTAGCACAACTGGCGAAGCCCAGGGACTGGTCGATGGCTGAATGACGTCGTCCTGAAGCATCTGCTGGACTTGGTCACGTATAGCATCTTGCTCTTTTTGCGACACCCTATAGGCATGTTGTTGGATAGGTCTCTCAGTAGGTTCCGTGATGATACGATGTTGAGCAAGTGGTGTCTGTTTAACCTTTGACGTAGTGGCAAAGCAGTCTTGAAATGAGCCGAGTATACGCAAAAGGCTTTCTCGTTGAGCCGAAGGTAGTCTCTCGTTTACGTCGAGAGTGCTCACGAAGGCCTCGTCAGGGTGGTCATTCGATGAAAATGAAGCTAACGTAGATGGACCATCGGCATCAGCAAGTTCTTCACAATATGCAATGGCAGTGTGTCTCGTTAGGTGGCGATATTCGTCGCTGAAGTTCGTGACCAGCAGGTGAGCATGCCTATTGCTAGGCTGAATGATTCCTCGGGCAACACAGATTTGTTGTGAAATAAGGAGAGACAAATTGGCCTCTGCAATTACCGCGTCAGACAAGTCCTGTCCCAATTCTACTTTGACAAAGAGGCTGCTTCGAGGTGGGAGAGTCAGAGAATCGTCGCTAACACGGAGCGCTCTTTTCCGGAATTGCATACTGTCAGTTGCAGCGCAAAAAGGATCCTCGAACGACACAAGTAATTCACGGAGGTCGATGACGGCGCCGTATTCACGAAGGAAGTCCATTCCTAGAATGACTGGCCGAGAGCACACGCGTAATACGAGGAAAGAGCCCGCAAATGTTGACGTACGTATTCGAATGCGTGCCGTGCACATACCAGTAGGCAACACCAGATGGCCACCTGCCGTGCGCAACTGAGGTCCTTGCCAAGGCATCGTAACCTTCCTCAGTTCAGATGCCAGTGTTGCGCTCATTACGGAATAGTCGGCACCGGTGTCGACGAGGGCGTTAACAGCATGATTGTCGACGAAGACGGCAATTTCGGCAGAAACAATCTTTTTGCTGTCGGAGAACACTGCAAAACCGGAATCGCCCTCGTCTGGTCGTTGCGTCGAAGGAGGGTCTTTTACAGTTCGCCGGGCCGCGACTTCACCCCCAGAAGTCGCCGTTCCTAGTTTCCCCTGCGGGGACTTGGTGACCGGCTCCTGAAAGGAGCGGAAGACGATGAGGGCAAACTGGGTGACGTAGACCGGCGAGGCGATGGTGATCTCGACTGGTGGTGCCGAATAGTCGAAGGAGTACGTTGGCCCGTGAGATAGGCTTCAATTTCGCGGGGGCGCTCACCGTAGCGCGGGCATCGAGCATCAGGGTGGAAGCCGCGGAGACCTAGTTGCCGGTATTGACAGTTCCGGTATACGTGACCCGCTTCGCTACAGTGATAGCAGAGCGGACGGTTATCCGAGGTGCGCCACGTGCTTGCCTTGCTACCACTTTGTCTTGAGATGGACGGCGGATAGGTGGGTGGGCTCGAAAACTTTGAGCCGAGAGGTGGGCTTGAAGCAGTGTCGTGAAATGGCTGCATAGCCTGGTACCTTGGCCGCATAGCAGTATCTGTAGCCGGTGGCGCAGGGGATCTCAATGCCGCTGCGTATGTGAGGACTGGGGCCTCGGGAATCGGCGGTGCGATTGGGGCTAGGGGTGTGACGGCCTGCCGGACTTCTTGTCTGATTACATCCGCGAGGGCTGACACGGGTGGATGGGATCCCACTGCCTGCAGCTGTCGCAATTCGTCCCGAACGATACTTCGAATGAAGTCTGCGAGGGTCTGTCTCTCGCTGTCAGAGCCGATAGAGCATGTGGTGGCCGGGATCTGGCGTTCGTATTGTGACGACCGCTGCTGCAGCGTACGTTCCATCGTAGCTGCCTCACTGATGAACTGGGCGACTGTCGTCGGTGGATTGCGCACGAGCCCAGCGAAAAGCTGTTCTTTTACTCCGCGCATCAAATGGCGCACCTTCTTTTCCTCAGGCATGGCAGGGTCCGCGCTCTTGAAGAGTCGAAGCATGTCCTCGACAAACATGGATACACGTTCGTTTCGCCGTTGGTTTCTGCTGGATAGGGCTTGTTCGGCCCTCTCCTTCCTTTCGGTGTTGCGATAGGCGTCACGGAGCTGTCGGCTAAACTCTTGCCATGTTGCAAAGGAGCCCTCGTGGTTCTCGTACCACGTCTTCGCAGAATCCTCCAAGTAGAAATAAACTCGGCTCAGCTTGCGAACATCGTCCCATTCGTTGATACTGGCAACCCGTTCAAAGTGGTCTAGCCAGTCATCAACATCCTCGAAGATGTCCCCATGGAACGGCTTTGGTGTCTGTGACACGTGAAAAACATGGGCGAGAAGCGAATCATAGCCATCGCTGGTTTGGACCGCCTGGCTTGTCATCGCAGTTGCCATCTTTCTGGGTGTCGATGCCAAGGGACCAAATTCAGGGGGTAACCCACGCAGGCGGCGGCTGATTCTTGCTCTGGGGGATGTAGCTGTCTCCACGATGGCCGACACAGCCGAAGTACAGGTACCCAGCGTCTCCACCAGTAATGTCACGAACAAAACAAGACCTGCAGCCAGGAGTTCACTTGAACCAGAGCAACGAAGATGTTCTCTTCTTCTTCGCGCCCAAAAACGCGTATGAGCCACAGTGGCTCGTTCATCAATGGTGGCAATATATACTATTGATGTGTGCTCAAACGAATCCTACTCATTTGTCCTAATTGGCGATAGCTGGTGCATGGCAAGCACTGAAGAGAGGGGGAAGGGGTACTGGCAGGCTTTGAGGAGGAAGGGCGATCGCCCCTACCGCCCCCCTTCTAGACCCGCCACTGCATGGAGTGGTCCCGGGTGGGGGACTGTAACATTAACTGCGTATACTTTGACCACCCGGGCGTGGCTTCCCACGAGCGCTCGCGCTGTGTCTTCACTGGAATCATGAGACGACTCTTATCGGTGTACGTTTTGCGTTGAAGTCATGTAGAGCACGAATGGTGCTTCGCTAGCTGGCAACAGCCGCGTTTCCTTACGCCAGAACTTTATCGCTATAGCTATTATACGAAAACACTCGGCGCGCTTTTGTTGTCACCGTGGCCGTCGGTGTCGGCACCACCGTGAGGTTTCGCATGAAATACCAATTTACTAAAATCCCTGGATATCTCTTTGAAAAGTATCGCTGTTCTTTTAACCGAGCCACCACACCATGCACTCTCCTCCCCCGCCTCTCGAGCCGGCACTTTAGAGAGGTCACGAATATCTGGTGTGTTATCAACGTGTTATAGCATCCTTGATGCGAAGGTGGCGACATGCAGCACCCGCACCTATGTTCTCACGGTGGCTGTTCGGGGGAGGATATGACATGTTGAGAGAAGAGGCTCAGCTTCTTGAGTGAGCATATGGAGGATGAAAGCACCGGAGTGGAGGAGAGTGTTGCTACTTTTTGTATTAAGGGGATCTACAAGTTACGACGACGTCCCGCACCTCGTACTACATTCTAAGTGCGAGTTAAACCGATCCTGAAACGGTTTCGACAATTTTCTACAAACACATTGGGCCGGTAGACCAAGTCCCAAGGGCAATTTAGAGACTGACTTGAGCTCTCTGTGTAAACTGTGTAATTTATTACAACGCTTCAGAGTTGCCAATCGCTCCAGATCACTGCAGATTGCTGCGACTCGGCCAAACGCGTTTTCAACCGTCCATACACCAAGCGACACGCTCTGCCCCACTGACGTCATCATTTTCAGCTGATCTGATTGGTAGTGGAACAGGCAGCACAGACTGCCGGTATCGGATCAGCGGCGGGATTTACGCGTATGCGGTCTCACGCCACATCGTGACGCAGGTGCCGTGAAGGCGGAGCTTAGCCCCCAGCGCTCGAAGGAAGAGATGAGGGCAGTTGAGGGTGAAAGACGGGATGGAGGAGGAAGGTTTTAGTACTCGTATCTCCGTTAATGATGGCTGTTTTGATTGAGCTCTGGTGCCAATGATTTGCTCCAGTGGTGGTCTAATCGAAAACTGAATGTGAAAAAACCGTTTCAGGGACCCTCTAAAGGCTGCGAGCGCTGCCGACGAATGATTATCGCGTAGCGAAAAAAAAAAGGCGCTGGCAGCCTTTCATCGAGTTAACGGCCTACCGAGGGGGCGGAAGTAGGGAAGCTGCAAATCTGCGGCAAAAACTCCGCACTTTGCTCCGCCTGGTGCAGTGGCACGTGCTTTACCTTTACAGCAAACAGCTTATAACTTTGTATACGTGCTGGTGCCACCGGCTCGTTTGCGATAAAGTGACAGGCAGCGCGAAAGTTGGTTCGCTCGTTGCAACAGTCGCGTTTCCTTACGCTGGTGGTTTGTTGGCTTGCGCTGCAGGGCGCATGCTAAAGTACTAAGCTGTTAGCCTTACTTCATACTGCGTTCGAATTTAATTGTTTCAATCGCGATCACTGCTCTCCCCTATATTAGCGAAACTGCAACTTTGTTTTACAGTGGCTTTAGCAGCGGTGCATTCGAAGCACGGCGTTGCCACGAAGTAGGTGCTTGACGCGTATCTGAATAAAATACCTAGGCAACAGGGAAAATTGATGATGTGGCTTCGGTTTCACATAGGAACGGACGAAGTTCTAAGAAATTGTTTTTGTCACTTTGATGAGTGAAACAAGTCGGCCTTTTGCAAGTCCTGTGACGCAAGGTAGAATGGGGAATGACTAACCTTCATACTTCGGTACAACTTTTCAGCAAAGTAGGCCGGGATGTTGTAGACACACTTGACTGCAAAACAAAGAAAGAAAAGGCAAAGACGTGTGCTTTATAAAGTGCTCCTACACCAACATAGGTGCTTTTTTATGGCATTCATTATAGCAGTGTAGGCACCGAAACTAGAGTTAGTTGAGTTTTGGTGATTGGGTTAAGGGAACTTAATGTGAAATGTAAACTAAATCAAATCACATGAAAATAAGGTTAATTTCGAATGACTAAAATGGGAATACGAGTTAATTACAATGTACGTGAAAGCAAATCAAATTTGAGTTTAGAGTGAATCAAGTATTGAAAGGCATCAGCATTACCAAAACGTCAAATTGAACTAATGGGAAATGAGGAATAAAATATTGAAGCGAAATAAAGGGGAATAAAATGTGTAGAGCCCATGGCGATGGTTAAGTGACCGAAGAAGTAGTGGGCAGTAGAAATGCAGCAGACTTAGAAAGCCAAGGTAACTTATTAGAGCGTCATAATAGTGTGGCTTTCACCTGTGCACTTGACACCAACTTAGCTAAAGATAATTTTCTTTCTTCTTTGCGGCCCTTCTCATAGCAACATCTATAAGTCCGACGCGTACACATATATATAGACATTGACGACTCACCGATGGCGAGAAAACCTTTGCGCAGGTCTCCGCTCATTTCTTTATTGATTGCCTCGATGATGGTTTGGTTTGTGATTGCGTTGTACTCGCGAAAGATGAGCAGCAGTTGGTCGTAGCTCTCGTTGGCCAGGATCTGGTTGAAGACCGACTCGTCGGTGCCCCAACGCTGGACTCCAGCTTGCTGCAAATGCTGCCGGACCACGAAGTGAGAAGAATGGTTATTTGCAAAAAAACAGATTTTGCGTGCCGTGAGGCGACGCCTCTTGTGTTCTAGGCAGCGCTCTGTGAAACTAATTAAAATGTGATGGAGGCAGGATGTTCTACAAATGTCAAATTATTTGCCAACATGCGCCTATGGGCAGTAAAAAGAAGAGCCTCTGGTGCCTTTACGTTTGCAAAAACGATTTCCTTATACTTTGTTCGTTGATGTCGCGACGTGACAACCAAATATTTCAAACTGGATGCCTGCGATTCTACAAAGTTTTCTGCCCTCCCGTTCGTGACTGCAGCCCTCGTGTCCTTTATTTGACAGTGCAGTGTGCGCCCTCTGCACTGTATACACTCCTGAAGGCTCGTTGTCAAAGTTCATGCCTGCATTCCTTGCGCTGTGAAATGCAATAGCATAATAACTGATAACATACCATAACAAAAACATAATGCAATTATGAGACGTCACAGTGGAGTGCTGCGAATAATTTCGATCATTTGGGGCTCTTTAACGCGCACGCAAATCTAAATGCACAGGCCTCGAGCATTTACAACTCCGTCGAAAATGCGGCTGTCATGGCAGGGATTCGATCGGGCAGTGAAATATTGAATTAATATTGCTCTCAATGATCATTGCTAGTGTAGAGTATTGTACCCCGTGTTTGCCTTCAGAACGTCGCTATTGGAGATGAAAAAGCTTCAGCGCAGAAGTATATAAAGCTTCAATTAAAATACTGAACCACAAGCACTAAGAACTCAGAAGCACTTTTTTTTGCAAAAATAGTGATTAACAACGCAAACGACAGGAGGGAATAGAAGAGACGAAACACGAGCGCTCTGTCTCATCTCTTCTATCCCTCATGTCGTTTGCGCTGTTAAGCACTCCTTATCATGTCATACCAACACACCCAATCCTACTGTTTATTTTTTGCAACTTATCTGTGCGTTAGCTTCTTCACATGCGGGAAATTCACGGGGCTGAGTGGTAATGTCACGTGTGACGTCATACTACAGCCACAATTTGAAATTAAAAAAAGGTTTCTTTCACCGTTCCCTAAGTACCGCTATTTTGCCAGTGTACAGTGTCAATTTTTATGAAAAGGAGCACGGGAGTGCATGGCCTGCGCGCTCCGGCGGCTGCTGGATTACGAGCCCCTCCTCCTTCAAGGCGATTACGCGAGAGCTGGTAATCGCCTTGAAAGCGGAGGGGGTCGCAATCTCGCTGCTGGTTCCATATCAGCAACGAATGGTTGTTTTTCTCGTCGCGAGATGACGCGAAAAGAGACTGTGGTTGCTCTCTCACCCGCTTGAACGCGCTGCCAGCAGCCGCCGGAGTGCGTAGGCCACGCGTTCGCGTGTTCCCTTTCATAAAAAATGGACACTATAGATCTATGGCTTGCCCGTGTTACCAATGCAGCTCCGCGTCATGGTTCTACTTTGCCAGCACTTTTTTGCCAGCATCCTTGCGGCCAGAACCAGAGTCGACAGAGATGTACTGCTCAACCAGTGACGTCATCCGTGACGTTTCTGCTTAGGGCACGTGTCTATTTTGCATATTACGGTGACCAAAGTTACGCCACTGCGCTTTTTAGGATATGAAAACGTGCTACGGGTAATCGTACCACTGGCAGGTGCGCAACCAACCATTCGACGCAATATTATTTCAGTATCGATGTGTTTCGGAGAAATATCACGTAGCCTGCATAGTAAATGCGTCCTCATAATTTAAGCATCGGAAAACATGAGCATGGCACCAAAAGCAGCCAGAAGAATGTGGGATATCAAAACGTTGTATTCTTACCAGAGCATCATTCCTCGCACGAACGGGGTCCGGAGGACTGCCTTCTTGGCGACTCGCCTTCAAAGTAAGCGACGAGCTCGTATATACATTAGACTGTCGCACGACGATACTAAATGACTTGTACAGATAGTTGGAGGCATCAAAACCTTCATACAGTTTTAAAACTTTGCGCCCTTTAACTTCACCCTTATTCTACTCGTAACCAGTCTGGGAACTCACGTTACACATGGAGACCAGAAGTCTTCGGAAGTGACCCGAGGTTTCACTTCTGATGTCGTCCTCCAGGTCTCTTGAGAATACTGCATAGCACAGCGGCGCATTTCATAACTTAAGTATGCCAGGGCAACATATCTACTATTGACCGCTGACGAACAGCCGCATAAAAACGGGAATACTGTAATATTTAGCCGCATGAAATATAGTGTGACGGTCACGGCATATTGCGCGCATACTCTCCACTACGCACAGTAAATGGTTTAAACTTAACCTACCTCTCCGACTTCTTCCACAATGATTCATATTGCTGATTTAGGGTTGTCGATATGCGGCTAGTAGTTCTCCGATTACGCATATACGAAGGCTAGCGTTGTGCGTTTAGTTCAAACTTGTAATTAGTAACAATATGAGTATTTTGGTAATTATTCAAGTAAATTTGACTCGGTAACTCTTCACTATAACTTGGTTACTTATTTCTGTTATCACTTACAGGTAGCCGGTTACTATATATGAAGTACAAATTCATTGAGTGGTCGCATTTATTTCATTTCATTTGTTACACCTTAAGCGCCAAAACGCATTACATAAGGGGGGGGGGGGGCATACACAGGTTTTTAAACAGTAAAATACATTAATTGGTAACAAATCAAATCAAACAAAATAAAGAGAACGAATAAACGTAGAATTGGGTATGTACACAAGAAAAAACTCAGCATCCCTTAGGCGCATATTAGAAAAAATAGGAGGTGCACAGGTTTCGCAAAGTAACATAACTGTAATTAGGAACAAAAACAATACAAAAGAGAAACAAATGTATAGTTGTGTACACAAGACAATTCATTATTCTATCGTAGGCACTTATTGCTGCACAATAAGGCAGGTAAGTTTTTCGCGAAATTTTTCTTGATCTGAACAGGAAGAAGTAATGGCATTAGGTATAGCGTGTTCCATAAGGTGATTGCGTGTGGAAAAAAGGGGTTATTTATCGTAGCTGTCCAACCACTTATGTGTGTAATGGTATACATGTGTGAGCCTATCTCGATGATGTTCGTACAGGTGGCGCCAACAACAGGAGCGTGCCCGTAATCACGGAACTCTGCGTCTTCATATGCTAGCATGTTTCATCCGAAGTACCTTCGAATCTGTTTGTTATCGATGACAGGATGAGTGGCCTGACTTGTCCGCACGGCATTTGGCATTTCACAATGCTTTCGCTTTTATCTGTCGCCATCGCATATCCCGTAATGTCTGTTTTGCAAATTGGCCACCCGTGCACCAGCCTTTGCGGCGTCAATCGAAGTTGTTTGTGCCACAGACATACATGACACGGAGAACATGCAGTCCACGACACAGCGTAAGCCCACCCGTACGTTTTACGAGAAGCCGGTACGAGACGCTGATGCATACGTAACTGCAACTGCACCAGTTTTTGCTTTTTTTACGAGCTCCTCGTACATATGGAAGTAGTTCATTTGTATTTCTTAAAGGCCCGGCACACGTATAGCGTAAGATTTAAGCTAATAGGGAGTTTTTAGAATAGCGCACCGCGAGCCCTTGCGGTGCGGTTGCTGCCACTGCGCATGCGTCGTAACGCGAGTCGGCGTTCGCGGACCACACGTAGAAAATCCGAAATTTCGTGTGGTGATGGCGGCCCACATGTGGCCCGCAAGCGCTGGTTTCGAGGCTACGGTGTCGCTGTGCGTTGTGGTTCGCAGCAGGCCAAACGCTGTTTTAAAACTCATATGGCGCCCGCTACGCCCGCTACACCCACAGCGCTTGCAAACGGTATTCTAAAACTCCCTATTAAGCTCTTGCGTGTGGGGCCCATGGTGCAAGCTGTGTGGCAATAAGGGCACAAAAATAGTAAATAAGCCAAAGTACAAGTTTGGTTTCTTGGTATAAGCCCATTTTAAGCAGTTCTATTTGAATCGATCTCATGTCAGATAAGGTAATAAAAAGTTCGGCTAGTTGGTGTTGGTTCATCTTATAATAGCGTTTTGAGACTAAATAAGAACGACGCAAACGTCAAATTGTACATGAACAGCACTGACTTTCAAAGAACATTGAATGCGCGAAGCGCAAACACTTAAGTGCGTGTGCATGTTCCAGAGGAATAGAAAAACAACGAAAGAAAAGAAAAATTGAAGGAAAGGCTACATGTTCACTCCTCGGGCGTTTAATAAATAAAGTCGATTTCTTTACAGTTTAAGGATGTCGAGGGCTGGCTTGCGCGTTTCTCCCTGCTCTAGCGAGTATAACATATGCTTCTTGTATTATAGTTGTGTTGCTGGCGCTGCGTTAGTCCAAGATGATGATTTATCTCGACTTGCACAGTCGAAAACGCACAAAACGAAGTTAAATCAATTAATCACGCACGTTCGTCACAAGACATACCGTGTGACTTCATGGCACAGCAGCGGAACACACAATTCACAGCTGATGCAGCTCGTGTACGGACCAAGCGAGAGCTTATTTCCGCACGACGTCACACAAACTGACTGCTGTCGCCACGAATTGTGCCGTTAGGACGGGAAACGCTATAGGAGATACTGACACGCTTCGTCTTTTTGTGTAAGAGGCTGTTTGGACGCCCTTCAAAGTGCCCGATTACGAATCGATGCCGTTCATGAACCAACAAGTATATATAGCGCAGTGATGACACGAATGCTGTGATTACGATCGGCCAAGTTTTGAAGCCTGCATGGTGTACCGTGACTTTCTGGGTACGTATAATTTTTCTCTCAATAGCTCACTTCCGTGGTAGTTTTCCTTGATCCTCCTTATATCGTCGTTGCTGCGCGTGCACAGGATCTCCACGAGGCAGTCTTCGTCAGTGCCCAGACCCTTCATGGCGGCGCGCAGCTCTCGGGCCAGGTACTCGTGCATGGGATACAGTAGGCCCACCATTATGTGCTCCAAGTTGCTACGAAGCTCAGATTTGATGTCCCTGATCAGGTCCTGCGTCGTTCGACGTGACGCAATTGGAAAAAAAAGATAGTCTTGCATAATGAATCGGAGCTCGGGTTTGAGTCCAGAGACGAGCTAAGGGCTGCGTAGACATATTCTGCGTGAGTGCACAACAGCGTGAACAACCACTGTTGCGCTTGCACGTTCTGCCGCTTCGATGAGTCACATTGCGAGGCCCATATCCAATTATGCATATATTTGAGCAGGCACTGGCACAACTTGAATGCAATCGCTAACGAACAGAAGTATAACGAGTGTAACACCTGTGTTGCATATGAAAGCGAAAGTGTGACGGCATTCGAGTAAAACAATCGAGCCGAAAGATGTACAGTAATAACCGATTGAAACAGGACAATTAGGGACTAATGAACGCTCGCACTTTCGTTTTCAGCGTCTTCAGTTCGGGGCACATTGGCGTGGTCTTGATTTGAACATGTAGATAAGAGCCAACATTCTTTTTTTTCAGACCGTCGCGACATGACATGGTTACCTAAAGCAATCGTGCGTATAGTCGTTATACTAAAAGCTTCCTGTCGCGTTTTGATCCGCGAGCACTGTACATGTCTGGCTTTAAATGAACCATTTGAACTCTATTCGAGCACTTTTGTCTTCATATCTTCAAAGGTGTGAAAACTGTTGTTCGACTTCATGTGCTTCTGCGACTACACAATTCTGGCATCTGCGCTCCTGCCACGCAATATCACGTTTCGTAATACGACTTCTTGCCCGACTTTTCTAAGCAGTGTCAAGCACTGGCGTACAACTGTGCACAGATACCTGACTGCCAAGCAGAATACCTGGGTTCAAATGCCTGGATTCGATTCACGGCGCACTTCGCCGTGAATCGGCGAAACATATGCACCCAAGGCTTCCGCCTTAAAACGCATGCACATTAAAGAATGCCAAAAGCACTTACTCGGCCAAACATCTGCTTGTATGTGGTAACAATCTCAAGCCTCTGCTCGGAAGTCCGTGCGCAGAGGATGTTGATGATGGCGTCTTCATCTGTACCTAATAAGAAAAAGATGTGGGATCAGACAGTAATGAAGGGCTGCTCGCGGAAATTTAGATCTGTGTTTCAGGTACATTGCAAGACGTGCTGATCAATACTGATGTGGGCATACCCCATCCTTTCATAGCCTTCCTCAGTGCCTGGGCGTCTTGCTTTGCATCAAAATTTCGGTACGGCCTCAGTGTTCCTTGCTGGCGAAAGCAAAAAAATATAACAAGTCAAACATGAACTGTTCCAATTATTGGTAATAAACTTTTCTAAATGGCAAAGTTGTTACGCAGTGCAATTGAATAACTCCCCTTCCTCAGAAAGAAAGATTTTGAAGAAATTACACCGATCTCCCACTAAAGTGAATCATGTGGGGATGCGAAGCAGTGCTGATGTTCACGTGTGTTTTATTTGTATGTTTCTGTTTGTTTCGTTTGTATGTGGAGTTGCGTATATGTTGTGTACCGCTTGCATTACCCCCTCCTATTTGGGTGAATTACCTTGTGTGTGCCGTAAAGTGAACACCCAGCGCTGCTAAGAGAGTGCAACGGCGCGAGAGCGCGCAGCCCTATATGCGAGTGAACAGCTGTGGCGGAAACATAAACGGGAGAGGAGCAACGAAGCGGAGGCAGCGCTCTGCCATATCCTCCCACACCTTAGTACCCTCTCCGTTGCCCCACTCCCCCTCTCTTCACGTGAGCGCGAAGAGAGTGGAGAGGGTGGCAGTTGGCGCATGCGCAGTGAAGGAGCGGCCGGTCGCCGAGGGACGAACACAGCCCTGAGCATAAGCGACTTCGCATCTAAAATCTCCAGGCATACTAGTCATCGAAGCTACATATGGTTTCTCTGTTTTGTTGCTTTTCAAAGTCACATGACCATACCCGCTCTGAGCTACGCAGCTTATGTGCAACCTCTAGAACCTTTGAAATGTTTGCTACTCTGACCTACCATTACGTCGTCATCACCCTGTATTTCTCGATCGCTTCTCTTTCGCACGATTCACCTGTGCCAGACATTTAAGCTTTGCTGACGCAACAGAATAGTTACTTTATATGGTGGTAGTGTGTCAATAAGTATATGGTCTCTGTAACCGAACACAGCTTCTAAAACAGGGGAACGTAAACGTGCGCCTCATTCGAGATTTTGTCCCAATGGGTGGTGGAAATAAAGTAATAATATTCGCTGGGGTACTTACGTTGAACCTGTTGCCTCCTCCCGCTCCACTTGGCGCTCCGTCATAGCTGGAAGACTGAGAATAAAATAAATGTTAAATATTCACAACATTGAGTACCCGAGTGATGACAAGGAGCGGTACGAAATATGAATAAAAGGACTACCGTATGAGGATTTTCGAACGATGGAGTGAAAGCTGTCAGGAAAAAGTGTTTGACTATTGTGACGAATGTTCCTGTTCACTCCAAGACAAACTTGCATAAGTATACCCGTTCGTCTTTTACTGAGGACTGACGTGGCATCTATATAACTTTCTTTAAAATTTGGGATGGAATTTGAAGGTCTGTTTTTTTTTTATTTGTTAGATAAAAGCGTAATTAGAACAGACAAGAAAGCGAGGAAGGTATAGGGGATGCTATTTGTAGTAATTATGATGCAAACGTGAAGTAAGTAGAAATGACGAAAATATATCTTGCCTCTGGCAGGGATCGCACCCGCTACCTTCGAAAAACGCGTCCGATATGCTTTCGGCCTACTAGCATCACGTGTTTCGTCACGCCAGCAGCCAGAAAAAGAGTACCCCATACTCGCGGTCATGGGTACTAGCGGCCCCGACACTCCCAGGTTTCAATGCACACACATACCCCATGAAGTGGGCGGATGGATGGCCGCCAATGTAGCTCAATAAGTAGAACACCGACCGTGTTATTCGAAGGTCGCGGGCGCGATTCCTGCCAGCGGCAAGTTATCTTTTCGTCCGATTCCCTTTGAAATCATGATTACTAGAAATAACCTCTCTTATACTTCCCTACGTTATAATTTCTTTAAGTATACATGTTAACTACTTTATCGGAAATCATTTACTCCCTTCCGGGGAGTTCTCTTGTGAGTCAGGAATAACCGAAATGAGTGACGGGTACACATAAGTTAACTTCTTTTTTGCTTAGAGTGAATATATGAACCTAAATGTGGGAACTTCAAACCTCCGCTGACATCCAACACTGTGCACCTCTATAGCTACCTCGGCTTCCGTGCTCTTTGCATCGCGATTGTATAAAAGTCTGGTACATACTACTTATGTGTCGCCATGACAATATAGCCTTGAGAGACACCTACAAAATTATTTTGCCCGTGGTATGTTCTTGAGCATGAGCCTCAAACATGGTATACGAGCACTGGCTCTTGCATTCTGCCTCATTTAAATGTGGCCGCCGGGAACACTACCAGAACACAGTACGTCGAAAGGCACTATAGCTACTGCGTGAACCGCCATACTAACAATAGTGAATGTTCAATGCTTTAGTAAGTTTAACAGAGTCTATCGCCTACCTATGTGAAGTCTTTGTGCAGATTTGTATCACACACTGTCCACGGAGCAAAATCAGCTCATGGAAATGGTGAATTGAAAAAAAATTGTAGGTAATGCCAATAAATGTGAACAAGCATTCTGAAGACTGGTGAATTATGTTTTTTAACGGATTGCCGACTGTTGGGTAAAATATTTGAGGAGGATTCCTCTACGCATTCTGTTATCAGTTCACCGCCCCCAACGCCTCCGAACAATTAACTAGCTCGACTGCATATTTTCTACAAACTTGCCTTGTATTCTTTAAAAACTAAGCATGAAATTTCCGGTTGATCGGCACTCTCATCATTCAGCGTCGTTTAATTCCCGCTCGGACAATCTTCTGTCACTTGTGGGCTGTGAAACAGACGCAAGTTGGCCGAATGTTGATTTTATACAAAGCTTGCAGACTGCCTTTTATTTGTAAAGAGCCGAAAACTAATACTCTGCTTTTTGTAGGAAACAATGTGAACATCACCCAGGAATGCTATTGCTTCAACGAAACTAAATGATAACTGCGCAAACTTATGGCGCTAAAACCTGCCACTGCTGTACAGAACACTTTATGTGAACGTTTTCCTGGGAGAGGTGGTGCCTACTTTCACTAAACACTTTATTAATGGCGTAATGCTTGCAACATGACAAAAGAAATATAGAATAGATAAAAGAGCTCTATAACTCTTCTCTCGCTTTGTTTTTTCATCATATTTCGAGCAATGCGCCACGAAAATTTGCTTGCTCACCGGTCCGGGGCCGTAACTGGTGTTTGATCCACAGCGGCTGGGGCCTCCGTCGTAACTGCCGCTGCGATCGCTGGCGTAGTTGCCGTCCCGTCCACCCCTATCACTATAACCGGTCCCGTGTCCACTGTAGCCGCCTTGGGGAGGTGGTGGATAGGCGCCAGAGGCTGGTGGTGCGTTGTACGGCCCTGGCGGGTATTCGCTAGATGTCTGCCGGCTCGGTGGTCTTCCGTATGGTGCAGGCGGCGGTCCGAAGGATGTATTAGAACCAGAGCTGTAAGGGGACGGTGGAGGAGGACCGTATTGATCCGCAGAGGGTCCATAGCCTCTGTCAGGTTGAGGCATGCCTCCGGGCTGTGGCATACCGCCTGGTTGTGGCATACCGCCTGGTTGTGGCATACCGCCTGGTTGTGGCATACCGCCTGGTTGTGGCATACCACCACCATAACCCGGCCCATTCCGTGGAGGGCCGCTCGGTGGTTGATCGTATCCTAGAAATCGGAGAAATATCACGCCCTACTGAATGGCGGGGGCGTCTCAAAGTCTTGAGGCTGCCTACAATAAAGCATGAAGCACAGCGCGGTTCTGGCGAGCCAAGGAGCGATGTGCACCCCGCCGCGGTGGTCTAGTGGCTAAGGTACTCGGCTGCTGACCCGCTGGTCGCGGGTTCGATTCCCGGCTGCGGCGGCTGCATTTCCGATGGAGGCGGAAATGTTGTAGGCCCGTGTGCTCAGATTTGGGCGCACGTTAAAGAACCCCAGGTGGTCGAAATTTCCGGAGCCCTCCACTACGGCGTCTCTCATAATCATATGGTGGTTTTGGGACGTTAAACCCCACAAATCAATCAATCAATCAAGGAGCGATGTGCAAATAAATAAGGACAACAATAATTTTCGGCGCTTTATATACCATAACCTCGACATGATTATGAGGGATGCCGTAGGGCTCCAGAAATTTCGAAAACCTTGCGTCCTTTAGCCGGTACCTAGATAAACGCACGCAGGCTTCTAGCCTGTCGACTCTATCAAAATGCTGTCACCGCGGAGAGGATTCCATCCTATGGCCATCAGATCATCAGTCGAGTACCATGACCACTAGACCGCCTTGGCGGCTATGCGTAAAGAGATCCTAAGTGGAGGTTAATCATAAGTGTTCTAAGGTGTTTATTTGACTAACCAGTATTACTTTAAAACTTCTATGAGTCAGTTTCACAACTGAATTTGAGGCTGTTCATCGTGCTGGAGCAGTGGTGACGATGGTCGGCTTCAGACCCAAAAGTCACGGGCTTGATCCCGGCCACGGCGGTCGCATCTTCAAGGAGGCTAAATGGTAGTTGATCGTGTACTCTGCATTGTCAGTGCTCTTTAAAAAAACCCAGATGCTCAGAATTTCTGGAGCCCTGTAGTATAGACTGCCTCAACCACATTAGGGTTTGGACACATTGTACCCCATGACATTCACGCGATGGCGTCAAAGAGTTCGTCCTACAAAATGTTTGGCGTCACCATTGTCATCGTTGGTAGTGAGCAATAAAATCATCATCTTGTCCATGACCAAAAGTACGGAAATATGTGAATAAAACAAATAAAAATTTCCAGGTCTGAGTGAGGAATGAACTCAGGCTGTCTATGTAGCAAGCAAGTGTTCTACCACAAACGCACAATATTTGTTGAAATTGCTATGAAAAAAAAAAACACTATATGAGTTTCATGTAGTAAAAGCAGTCTTCATAGGCGCCAGGCATCGAAAGACGTGATTTCAGCAATGAGCGGCTGTTTTAAAGGCCCACTCATTATTAGGTGCTCAGGCATATTTAATCATCATGAGAAGCAGAACCATCAACTAAGTGAAAAGCTGCGTATATAGGTTCGCGTGTTGCTCTACAAAAAAAAATAATTTTGGCGTAGTGCGCACTTAACAACTGCGCTTACAGTAGGCATTTAACAATATAATGATACTTTGAAACAGCCAATTTTGTGTGCTCAGCCATTCGTTTCCTTATGTAAACCAGGGGACATAGCATTATGTAAACTGTTTCGTTATATAAACCAGGCGGCATAGGAATACGGCTGGTGCTATTAAATGTTGAAAATTTTTATATTTGAAACTTGAATTTTATCATGCAATAAGAGCACGTTACGAGGGTAAGTAAAAGATGTTCGAACGGCTTGGGGGGCCCTGACTATACCTAGAACACTTGATAGTAAAGAAGCGTGCGGCTAAGTGAGTACAATCTACTGATACAACCTCCTATGTTTCATGCTAAAGACGCATTCGTTTAAACATGGTTACTTTTGAGCATAGTGTTTCCATGCTTCCAAACTGAGTCTCCGTAAATGCTACGTTTGTTACTACGTCCACTTGAATATACTGTATTAAAAGTACACACGCTTTGCCGAGAACGTATTCCCCCGGGAAGTGTTCAAATGGTGGTACGTAAGACTGCGTTGCCTCTCACGTGTCCATGCACGCAACATCCTCTCAATGTATTCTATCGCATTGAAGTAGCTGCCGTGATACTTGCGTTGTAACAAATGGCTCTTGACCAAAAATTAGTGACTATTACAGCAAAGTAGCATTTTTCGACAGTCCCGATTTTCGGAATATATACCGGCTGCACAAAAAAAAGGCTCCACGAAAAATCACCGCTGTGACTCATGGAATAACCATCCCCACTGCATTGAAAATGAACTGTACTTGTTCGACAAGAGACCGCTGAGACGTGGGCTGGCTTAGTCCTCCATCGGTCACTTTCGGGAAACAAAACTCGATCGCGTCGAACTCAAACTTCTTTTTCTTAAGCGTACCCGCCGTGCACGGTGGTCTAGTGGTTATGGTGCTCGACTGCTGACCCGCAGGTCGCGGGATCGACTCCCGACTGCGGCAACTACATTTTCAACAGAGGTGAAAATTCCTAAGGCTTGGTTGCTTAGATTTGTGTTTAAGAGACAAGCAGAGAGCAGTGTGGATCGGAGAACAAACCGGGATAAGAATATTATAGTTGAAATCAAAAAGATGAAATGGACATTGGCTTGGCATGTAGCGCGTAGACAGGATAACCGCTGGTCATTAAGGGTAACTAACTGGATTACCAGAGTAGGCAACAGGGTTAGAGAGAGACAGAAGGTTAGGTGGGCAGATGAGATTAAGAATTTTGTGGGTATAAATTGGCAGCAGCAAGGACAGGACCGAGTTGACTGGCGGAACACCGGAGAGTTCTTTGTCCTGCAGTGGACGTAGTCAGGCTGATCTGATGATGAAGGACTCCAGGTGATCCAGAGCCTTCCACTACGGCGTCATCATATCCATGTTTCGGGACCTCATACCCTAGCATTTTTATCTACTTTCAAAAGTTGTTTTTCCTATCGGTAAGCCGGCTTCGCTAAATATGTCATACATTGTGGTTCGCTTGAACGACCTTTTGCCAATAGTTTTATCGAATATCGAATGTTCGGAAACATGTGCATCTCTCTCTTTCTCTCTCTCTCTCTCTCTCTCTCTCTCTGTGTGTGTGTGTGTGTGTGTGTGTGTGTGCGTGTGCGTGTGCGTGTGCGTGTGCGTGTGCGTGTGTGTGTGTGTGTGTGTGTGTGTGTGTGTGTGTGTGTGTGTGTGTGTGTGTGAAAAACTTTACAGTTTGGAAACCAAGAACTAGAAATTGTGCTTAAAGTCGACACAAAAACTTCAAGGACGCTTGAGCTCTGCCTTCAATGGTACAACGCCATAGCGTAATCGGGTCCCATTCGCAGCACCTTAATTGCTATCCTGACTTCGGTTCTTGGTGTGCATACAGCTCTACCATGCCACAAGAAAAAGAACGTCAGTGCACCTGTTTACCTGTTTCATGGTATATTGGAATGACTACTGTAGATACATTTGCCAAGTTTCCAGTATGCCACAAAACAGTTGCACATTGGCCAAGCAACCACTTTGCTTCTGCAAGGCAGCACGCGTACCTGCGCAGCTGAACGCTTCATTGATGCTGTTTCTGATAATGGCGGCTAATTATGCTTGTGTGCATTGTAACTGGTGCGCCTTTTAACAAACCTTTTATTTAGCATTTAAATAACTCGACTCCTAGTGTGATTCTGTACTTCTGCCTCACAGTATTAGACAAGATCACTCCTCTCACTATAAACAAAAGCACATACATGAATTAGGTCTACCACAGAGACATTGCTCGTCTACCACAGAGACGCAGGACTTCTGTGTTAGACACACAGCTCCTGGGATCTATTCCCAATTGAACCAAGGATTTCTTGAATTTCCTCATTAGCACCCCTCTCAAACTTTCTCTCACGGACAATGGTTTTCCGTTCACAGCCAACGATGCCAAAACTGCAAGTTTCACGAAAAGTGCTCTTTAACGCTCTCGTGTTAACGCACGACGTAGTCGCCGTTCCTTTATTTCTACGGCATTTTTTTCTTCTACAGCGCGGGTAAACTAAACGTAATCGCTAGTATTATTGCGATAAAATAAGAAAGCGTATACCTCCTTGTGGACCGTATCCGCCTCCGGGGGCAGGCGGGTAACCTGGGGCTCCTCCTCCGGGTGGTGCGGGGTAGCCAGTGGAGTCGCTGCTGTAGCGACGTGGAGGTGGTGGTGGAGGGTAGCCTCCCTGCTGCTGGTTGCTGCCAGGGTAGCTCATCTCTCCAGCGGTACCACCCTACTTCCCCCACTAAGGCTCTGCACGAAGCATATATCCGCACTTCATGAGCACGAATGTCCTTCAGGGTGAGGTCACCACTCGAAGAACCAGATGCCACAAACGGTGTGCATACGCGTCTCTTGACGATGCTTTGCGGTGATGACTACCATTACCAACAAACTTCTTACGATTCATGGAAAATCGTTCCTGGGTCTTTATTCACCGCAATACGTGGCTTAGTAGATGGCTAAAACCGTTCACCTGCTGAGAACTAAGTCGCCGATTGCATTGGCACTGAGGTGATCGAATTACGAGGGCAGCTTAAAGAAACACATTCACGGTAAATTAGCTCTATGTCCACATTAGCGGCCTTCATTCATCCGAACTGAACCACAAGCTAAGTGCAGCCTCTCTGAAAAAAGTCACTGTGCACCTCTCGCACGTCAAACACATCTCCATAAATCGTTGCGCATCCAAGACTTTTGTTGAAGCAATGCACTAGGCATAAGCTCAGAATGACGCTAAGCTTGCAACGACGCAAACGTATACTGAGACCAGCACACGATGGTTTCGACATGAAAGGCTGAAGTCAAGTGTTATAGCCGCAATCTCAAAAGCACCAATCTCGTAATTAGCCACTTCGTTTTTCTGTTCATGGCTGGATAGAACTGAAAGATCGACGTAGCCTGTACTCACCGGAGAAGAGCAAATTTGCGGCCGGTTTCCGGCGGATGAAGGCGGCCGAATTCCACTGGCACCACGCCCAGCACGTGCTACGTGCCACGCGTGCGCCCCTGACAGTTGTAGCACCACATGAAAAGCAAAGAAGAGAACAAAGTACAAGTATGCTATCTTTTCGAAATTGTCGAAACGATGCCGAAGTGTGTGTTTTTTTTTTACAGTTCACTTGCTCTTTCGTTTTTGTGTGCTATGCTTTTTTTAATTGTGAGAAGCAGCCCCAAATTAATCGTAAAACAATCAAACATGGTCAGAACACCGAAATGTAGAACGAGACTAACATGAGACGAAGAAGAAGAGCCAAGTAATGCGATCTAATTTTTCATGATGATGATGATGATGATGATGATGATGATAAGGGCCTAAACAATTGGCTCTCACCTACTCTCGGGGATTGGCCAAGAAACGATTATTTAGATAGTGGTTCACATAAACATTATTTTTCTTTTTCTTCTCATTTTTTTGAAATGAATGCTAAGGTTATCGAAATCAAGCATATTCAAAAACCTTTGTCGTCCTGTTTTTTTTTCTGCGAAATAAACTACTACTTTATTTCAAAACTATCTATTGCTAAACAATTTGACATCTTAAACAAACTCTTGCACATCGCAAGGCACCGCTCCTTTAATGGCTGACTACCCATGGTGCTTTGCACCAGGTTAAAAGGGTCAATCAATCAATATGGGGCTACCAGACTGGGTTATAGCCACATAAGCTTTTAGGAGGCTGTCATGGCAGTTTGATACGACAAAAGAAAAGAGTTTAATATTCACAGTAACTAAATTCAGTTTGTTTTTTGGTAATTTCCTTTGCGATCCAAGTGGTGTACAGTTGTTAGGAGGTATGTTCGTTATTTTTGTTACCCTTCTATTTGTTTTTTTTTCAGTAATGAGCTACTGAAAAACTACACTTCGAAACCCGCCTTCGAGGACCCATTCGCCTTTATACAAACTTTATTGTGTCCGGCAATAACCAGACATTTCAACCCCGCTTGCACGGCGAAAAGCCCTCACTGTCAGGGAAATCTCTGTGACACTTTCCACGTGGTTTGAGCTTGGCAAAGCCAAAAACACCCTTAACCCCACCCCTATAGTTAACGCTTTCTGGGAGTACTGGGAGGCAGCTCGCTTCTAACGGGCCATGGTGGAGCGGGCCACGGCCGATGCCAATGGGCTCCCGTAGAGGGGAACCCACCAAGTATTTACACGAGTCGGCCCCTTAAGGACCTCAACCCGCGCTCCCTGTCTATTTATGAATAAATGTTTCCCAGTCAGTCAGTCCGAGGACCTGGAAAATCAACGACGCCTCGCTGCCCGGGCCAAAGAGGCAGCAAGGGCTAGAAGATGCTGTTTAGAAAATTTACGTTTATTCCTCACAATCATTGTATAAAGCAATATTATTTGGTAAAGCTATATAATTTCCTAAGTAAAGCACTGCCCAATTCATTAAAGTAAGCAAGATAGAAGAACAACAAACCTATAAAACGATGCGGCTTTATTTGCTTCATTTACTATGGTATGTGTCTTCCCTGAAACATTGTCGGTCAGCATCGGCACGACAACGTATTCAGCGTCGCCAGGTATGGCTATACTGTGCCAATTTGTCTACTTTTTAAGACTGATGGTGGCAAAAGAGATGTCTTGGCTACTTGGCTGAGTCAAATTATGTTGACAAAGGCGTGGTTCCGACTCCCAGGCAACATTGAACTGGGAGCTTGTCACACAAAAAAAAGAAAAAAATGTTTTAGGGGCAAAGCTCCTACAACCATGGGTTTCTCCTTCTTCTGTGACTGGTTCGTGACAGCCTAGTTTATGAACGACTGATCAGGCGGCGCCAGTGTGAGAAACAGACCACACAGATAGATTCAAGATTTACCGACAAGAACCTCCGAAGCTTCGCCCCACTCATCATCATTCACTCCGTGGATATGCCGTGATTTTTTTTTTAAGTGGCTATTATCTGCGGAAAACTGTTGCATGAGGCTGAATTGCTGTCCACTACAATTGGAAGTGGAGAGCCTAATCTAACGCTCTCAACTTATCACCATAAATAAATTTCTAAATATACTTAGACCGATCCCCCGTACTATTAATAGGCAGCGAAGTTATGCGAAACATGTGGAGGGAAGGCGACTATAGTGTAATTTTTTTGTTGCTATTGTTAAGCGAAACGTTACAAAATGATGCTCGCTATACGCCGCCTCGTGGTTCTCATGAGTATACTGCACACTACTGCCAAGCAGAGTTATGGTCGACAGCGACGTGCTTTTTTACTGATAAGGTCATATGGGACATGTCTGCTCAAGTCATGTTGTCCGTGATGTCAAGATGCAAACAGACTGTCCCGAATCGTTGTTAGCACCGAATGTTGGACAGGAAGATCTTAGTTTTTTGCGACTCAAACTTGTTGTCTTCTGATGTCACTAAGGCGTTGGCGTAGGCTCTGCCATAATACGAGTCCGAGTAGACCAGTTCTGGATATGCCAGAAACAAAAATCGTGCGCACTGCATAGGCGAATAGAAAGAACACGCTCAGCGAAAACCTATTTGCGCGCCTTAGTACTTTGCGCGTGTGTTTGCGGATGGGCGCAACTGCAATGTATATCGAATTACTGCGAATGCATGCATTCAGTTAGCGAGCGAAACAACATTTCTTATGAACGTGATCAGTGCATGAATAATTTTGAGAAAGTACCATACAATGAAGCATATAGTGGAGCCAGGGTGACGCTACTACAATATTCGCAAACGAAAATCCATCGTAGAGCGAGAATAAAAGCGCTGCCAGGCATCATTTTAATTACTGAGGCTGCTGGGCAAGGCGCCCTCGAATTTTCATGCTGCTCCATATTGTCAGGGGCTTCGGCAACATAAATAAATCAGTTCGATTCATGGCACTCTCTTGTTTACGCCCGCGGAAACTATGGCCTCCGGCGGATGCGAGCCGATGAAGAGTGGCGGCTGGTCAGGCACACCTTAGTTTCCTTGGACAATGGTGAGTAGGGCCTTCCTGTAGTTGCCCGACGTGTCTGACTGCAAAAAACAAAACAAATTGTGAGCTGTAACTTGGTGTGGTGTATTGTTCCTCTGAATTGATGCACATAAGTTTAAACGTCAGCAGGGCGGACATTACAGTAACAAAAGCTAACCAAAAAATCTTTTATGCCATCCTCCGCGCCGTTGTCCGCTGACATATTTTTATCAGTACTCCCTTTATGCATGAACCTCATCAATTGTGACAGTGTGATGGCTGCGCAATGTCATAGTGGACACTGAATATTTAGCAACTAAACTAAAGCGTCAAAAACCCCGATAAGATTAGGACGCACCTGAACACCTGAAAGCACTTGAAAAATTGCAAATATCTGGAGCCTGCGATCTTGCGAATTTTCTGTGTCTCCATTTTCAATCGATTGCGTCACTACAGTGCCTCGCTCAATCTTTTCTCTTATGCCATTTATACGGTTTTATATTGGAATACATATTTCCATGGATGATACATTGAAGATAGAATACTTTGAAGGTATAGTTGTATAGTAGTGAGATACTTCTGCATGTTTGCGTGCCAACACAGCCCATTCACCGCTTACCCACTCTCCCCGTCCTCCCGTATTTCAAAATTATTGAATTGTTCACATTATGATGAACTTCATTATTCGATGGAACTGTCCGTCAGAAAAATGGGTTATTAGGTGACCTTTACGGCCTCTTCTCTTTCCCACAACCACGGTCACGGAAACAAGCACGTACTACAACAATGACAGTGAAGTATCACGACTCCGGAAATTCATACTTAAAGACAGATCCATTCTTTTTGTGAAAATTGAAATAAACAATACATAATTTTATTTTGCTGTTAGGTGACGCGTGTGTTTGGTTAAATATTGTAAAGTGTGAGAATTTTAAGTGTCTGTGCATTCAACCGTGCGTAATTCGTTTTACTCACTTTACAGGGAAAAAAGTCAAAGCATATCCTCGCAATGATGATGAGTGGGGCGAAGCGTGCATCTGTCCGTGCATCCGCACAGACGGATGGACAGAGGCATGGACGGACGGATGGACGGAAGCATGGATGAACTGACAGACGCATGGACGGACGCACGGACGGATGGACGAACAGACAGATGGACAGACAGATGGAAGCACGGACGGATAGATGGATTGATGGACAGAAACGCGGAAGAACGCATGGACTGACAGACAGACGGACGCATGGACGGACGGATAGAAGCATGGACGGAATCACGTATGGACGGATGGACGCATGGACAGAAGAACGGAAGCAAGGACAATGAACGCACGGACAGGTGGATGGACAGACAGGCGGACGCACGGGCGGAAGCATGAACGTATGGATGGAAGCATCGATGGATGAACGGAAGCATGGACGGACGAACGGACGGGTGAATGGACACATGGCCCACTCATCATCATTCACTCCGTGGATATGCTGTGAAAACCCCTAATGTCATCCAGTTGTATTATTCCCATGGACATATTCACAAAACGCCATCTATTCGGCAACTTATAAACTAGAGGTGGCTACATACTACTGCTACTACGACTACAGAGGAGGGAACGACCCACAGCCTAAGGAGCTTCACCCCTGAAAAACTCCGCAATGTCTTGTTATAAATTACGCATACCTACCAGCGACAGCAATCTGCGATTGTCTCAACAACGGTTGCATGAAAATACGTGTGAATGTTTTTGTATTTTTGCTTTCGCGATACGAAAGAGAAATATAGTTTGAAAGTCGTGCCTTGTTTTCACCAGCTGTGGGTGACTGGGGCCCTCATGAAGCGGTGATTATGCTAGAGTTAAAGATGGGTCGCTCAGGAGTGAGCCAGATCTTTTCAGAGACTGTGATCCGCGGCTCAGTGAAAGTTAGCTGCGGTTCTTCGCGAGACGGCTCACCGTGAAGCCAACTGACCCGCTGCCACTACCCGCTCGCGGCTTTCCGCCTGAGCCGGTGAACACCTACTGAGCCGACTCGGCGGCTCATCGGTTCCGCGAGGGCCAATGAACGAACTGAACGACGGATCTCTCGCTCACTCTGAGCGGAGGATTCCTAGGCTTTCGCTCTCTCACTGACCCGGCGGATCCGTACCGTACTTACTCGCACCGCTTCGTTTCGTTCGCTTTCCGTGGGATGGATGGGTCTAAGTGAGTGTGGCTTTCTCGCCATCTATTGGCGTTGAGAGCAAAGATCTACTTAAAACATGCCCTCCAAGAGGGCGGGTTCGCGGCGGGTTTCTCTCAACACGCTGTGGGCTCACCATCTTGGAGGCCGTGTGAAAGGTATTTGTGTTGCTCGCTTGTATCTTCTTTAGAGTGTGTATGTTCTTTAGAAGGGTAGAGGTTTGGGCCAGTTGGTGATGCACATAGTTGAAGGAAAGAAGCGCAATGAACGGGACATCAAAAGAACAGGCACACTGACAAAGTGATTTGTCCTGTGTGCTTCTTCTTTTGTTGTCCTAGTTCACTGCGGTACATTTCTTCAAGTATCTGTTAATGTTTTGTTAACTTGTTAGTCGCTTGGGGTTGTGCCACACCACGTTTGATGAAAATGTTGATTTTCGGAAACGATGACAATAAAACGAGGCCAAAGACATACTGTGTAGAGTGCAATTCATTCTGTTGTTTTCTGTCAGACGCACGCGTTGCTGCAAGGATTACTGAATATATCATTGCAAAATGCGTGAATTGAAACACGCGAAAGAGGGCGTAGCGCGAGCAAGCGGATGCATTATAAAGGAGAGTCGCGCATATCGCAGCACGTGCGAGTGGGCTCCTAAAAAATGGCAACATATCCACGAAGTGAATGATGGAGAGTGAGGCGAAGCATCCGTCCGTCCATGCGTCCGTCTGTATGACCATTCATGCGTCCATCCGCCCGTCCATCCACCCGTCAATGCGTGCGTCTGTTCGTGCATCCGCACGTCCATCTGTGCGTCCGTCCTTGCGTTCGTCCATGCGTGCATCCCTGCGTTCGTCCATGCATCCGCCCCTGCGTCCGTTCATGCGTCCATCCATGCATCTGTCTGTGTATCCGTTGGTCCATCTATTCAACACTCCAAGTACCACCATCTCGCATCTTTTCATCATATATTCCCCATATAGAAGCACCGCCATCCAGCGGACATTCCACGGACTAAACGAGAGATGGCATACGCACACTTTCTTACGGCTCGCGCTTCGTGTCTCTTTCCCACCTTTAACCACGTCGAGTTCATGGTATACCATGAACTCGACGTGGTATATATATATATACTAGTTCACTGTATTCATCGCACTGTGGCCCAACGCTCGCTAAACCTTTCTAAAACCAAGGAGGTTATGCCCAGCGAGTATAACGTAATAACCCTTTCTTGTCAGATAGTGCTCAATGTACATGCCAATGGCTGCTAATGGGGAATGAGATCGATTGATGATTGATTGATATGTGGGGTTTAACGTCCCAAAACCACCATATGATTATGAGAGACGCCGTAGTGGAGGGCTCGGGAAATTTTGACCACCTGGGGTTCTTTAACGTGCGCCCAAATCTGAGCACACGGGCTATACAACATTTCCGCCTCCATCGGAAATGCAGCCGCCGCAGCCGGGAATCGAACCCGCGCCCTGCGGGTCAGCAGCCGAGTACCTTAGCCACTAGACCACCGCGGCGGGGCAATGGGGAATGAGAGACAAGAGAATTCGGATTTTACTTTCTTACGGCTTGCGCTTTGTATCTACTTCCCACATTTAACCACCTCGTGTTCAAGGTATATACTACTTCACTGTATTCATGGCACTGCGGCTCAACGCTCGCTAAACCTTTCTTGATTGATTGATATGTGTTGTTTAACGTCCCAAAACCACCATATGATTATGAGAGACGCTGTAGTGGAGGGCTCCGGAAATTTCGACTACCTGGGGTTCTTTAACGTGCACCCAAATCTGAGCACACGGGCTTACAACATTTCCGCCTCCATCGGAAATGCATCGCTAAACCTTTCTAAAACCAAGGATGTTACGCCCAGCGAGTATAACGTAGCAACCCCTTCTTGTCAGATAGTGCTCAATGTACATACCAATGGCTGCTAATGGGGAATAAAGACAGGAGAATTCGGCTTTTAGTTAACGCGCACGCTGCGAATTTTTTATTGTTCAACAACGCACAAGAGAAATCTCCCACCGGCACCACATTGCAGGTCAAAACGTAATACTGGTTACACACTACGACTACGACTATGACTATTACGAGGGATGAACGGGTGCGCCGCTTTAAGGAGCTTCGCCCCTAAAAAAAAAATAATGCGCATGGGCATGCGACAAGAAACGTAAAAAATGGTGGGCGAGAGAGAGCTACCGAATCATACGTGACTAGTACTAGTTTTGCCATGACGACGCACAGCGTATGCGCGGCTTTTGATGCCCTTTGCAACAACTCCGCATCCGCCTCGAGAGAGTAATAAATGAAGGGTTATACGGCGCTGCCAGCACTGACGTCGTCAATTAGGATGTCTTGTGGGAAGTACACGGAGTAACCGACCCCTGGTGAACCGGTGAGCTGTTGAACGGAGCCGGTTCACTTTAGTGCGCTGAGCCGTTCGGAGCCGCTCACTGAAGTGAGCTGCTTTGCCAACCTATAGCAAGAGTTCTATGACCACCACACCATTTTCTAGTTTTTTAAACGATAGTTTTTCTTGGGGACCTTCGACGCAAACATTTTTGTCTGTCTGTGCATTTATCTGTTTGTCCACTCTTAAAGGTACCTCAAACAACATCAAACGATATTCCAAACGGTGGACTCCATCCGCAGCACCCACCAATATCGCTCAACATTCAGCGTTCATACTCGTGCAATTGTCAAATAAAAAGCAATAATTGCGCATATCTGAGGCACAACAACAACACGTCAATGTTTTGTATGTGTGTCTTTACACTAGAGCAGGTATATGCAAGTAATTCTAAGGACCGCAGCATTTATCTTACTGCGCTGATAATGCAACGCTTGCGCGAAAAAGCAAGGGTTTCCAACGCCTTTCTTAGACGACGCGGTGGCGGCACCTATCCATCGCCTTGCGTTCTACACCTTATCACCTCCAAGATGGGGACGCGCACCGCGCGCTTTATTTTCCAAGATAACTGCAAGATAGCGCTAGTATTTCACGTGTTACGTGTCTTGATGCACTCGTTCGCCTCCGCTGCACGCTCGAGGCACTCTGACGCAGCACCTCTAGAATACCATTCACCGATTTTCTTGCGCACAACATCGAATAAACGTTTTCTTCATTCTCTCCAGACGCAAGACTATCGTCTTTCGACGACATTTGCAGTGTAACATGCAGATACGGGGCCAAATTTTGAACTGTAGATTGGCGGGGAAAGTTATTTGAAGAAAAAAGAAAGGCGACAGGCTATATGCATACTCGGCGAAATACCCATAACTTGTCGTGTCCATAGTACTTTCACTCTATTTTTTTGCTTCTATCTCAATTTCACTTAGAACTGTCCAGTGAATTAGAATTTCAAAAATACTACACCTTCACACACCCCTACTTTTGAAAAGAATGCCGACCTTTGTGGATACATCAAGCAGCGCGCATACTGCAGAATATATCGAGTGAATAAGATCCTGTGACAAATAATAAAGTGTTAGATTCTGTCATTTATGTCGTAGTTCACATGCGATATTTTTAGCACAAGTATGGGGCGTCCGTGACAGTGCACCTGTTACATGTACACGGTAGGGTACACGTGTCGCACTGTGCTTGTAAACAGAGTACGATAGTTGCCAACGCATTCGTCAGCTGACAAGATGTATCCATGTTAATATCTGCGGTTTTGCGTCCCCAACTGACAATATGGCTGTGAGAAACGCCAACCATCTGTTGTTATTTAACGTGCACTGACATCACACAGTACACAGGCCTCTGGCATTTCGCCTTCAACTAAACTTTGCCGACGCGACCGTTATCAAACTCGCGACCTTCGGGTCAGCAGCCGAGCACCATAACGACTGCTCTACGCGGCGCACAATGCATTTCTATGTTATCAGTGTCAGTATTAACGTCAACACCATAAATGCTGTGTCAGCTACATCATCGTAGGATGATGTAGGTGCTTTAGCGTGGCTGCAGGAGCCATTCTCACTATATAACACATGTGAAGCACATTGTTGGTGACAGTCTGTTCATCCCTAACATGCCTAATATTTACATATGGTATTGGGCAAACCTTTCCTTAACGGGTCGGTCTTTATGCGATCTACCATCACCCGCCATACGATGCAAGTGCGCACCTATTTTCTAGCCTCTGATGTCCCATGGAGCTTATATTTAAATGTTACTTATTTGGCATTAAAAGGATTTAATTTTACAGTACACCTTGTTGATTAGAACTCGAGGAGACTCTAAAATTGTTCGAATTAATCGGAGTTTGAGTTATTGGGCGAACGCTAGAATGTACATGGCGTCACACTGCGCAGGCAGAAACTAAAGACGCCAGCTCTGGATTCGTTATCGTGATCTAAGAGCTACTACATGCTTCTGGTAGTTGATTCCGTTAACGTCATGGAGTTTTCAACGGAGAACATAATTCATCAGTGAATGATACTTCAGAAACAAAGGCTGGAATACATTCTTTTGAGCAGTTAACCTTAATGTTAAAATATTTGAGGCTATTTGTGCTTCAAAGCATGTTTATTTTTACGGTAGACTTAATGCAATAAAAATTAAACATGTTCGGGGTCCCTCCTGCGTGTTCTTTGAACCAGAATAAGTTTAGTTGAAGAACAACAATCAGTAATTTTCAATGTACCCACCCCATAACCATCGTATGTAGCTTGGCCAAAAGCTCCAGCACAGCTGCCAAAATCTCATTTGCTGAGAAATGCTGCTATTTTGTTGTTTTGCATCTGAATTAAATTTAGTTCGGTTCGGTTTTGCAACGTATTGTTATCACCGAGTTCTGCGTGCATGAAACGATGACAACCGGGAGTTTCAAGTTTGAATCAACCATTGTGAATACCGACCTGTTCGAATTATCGGAAGATTTTCCCATAGAAATACACAGGGCTGTGGTGAAGATAGAGAATTGGAACTAGCTGTAAGTTCGAATTAACCAGCTTTTACCGTATTACGTACTGAATCCGCAACGCTGCTAGGAGCAACGCCTACCGACACCTGAGTGATGCCGCCCTCCAGTCCCACACATGCATATGACACGCCTATATACCTCTCTTTTTTCTACCGCCTATATATCCCCTCTGAAATGCCTGTAGGCCTTGAGGGTACAAATAAATAAAAAAAATCGCAGCATTACGACTATACACCTTCTGCGGTGACACAGAAGAGTTTACTTCATTCATTATGCCGGCATTTTTTTTTCACTCAAGTTTTTTTTTTTTCAACGTTATTCGTGTCTCCTTAATCGTGCGCAAGTTGTTCAAACCTATACATACCTGAATGGCGGTTGAGAGCGTCATCTTGTACTTGTCGAGGTACTCTTCCTTGATTAGCTCAAGGTCCCTTTCACACCTCGACAGTATCACTCGCTTGAGCACCCTGTCATTGGTGCCAAGTCCCTGCAGTTGGTAAAATGGAAGGAAAAGCCTATTAAAGACTAAAAGCTAATGAAGGCTCCTCTTTATATTATGAAGATTTAGAGAGACTTCTAAGAATTTTACACGGTCCCAATTAATTTGTAACTCTGCACTATGACGGTATACTTAATACTATGCAGCCTTGTTTGGAATGACATCACTGGACCAAAATACAGCTCTACATCAAATAATTTTATGTTATGTCAGAATGCTGTTTTGAATAAAATTGTCACAGCTGGACCCCCTAACGTCATTTACGCAGAGAAATTGCCAGGTTGGTGGTCCTTGGCGGCACAAATCTCTTTTCGTAGATACTTTCGCGAATCTGTTAAAATGTTGGAATTTTTTAATTCATCATTTGAGGACACGCATCTTAGCCTTCCTGCCTTTCATACACATTTAATACCCCCTATATATCCTCGTTATTCTTATTTGAAAAAAGAAGTTTTCTTTGAATTATTTTTTGCCCCACTTGAACTCGTGTGAAGTGGAGGCCGACATGCAGTGAAATCATATCTTCTTAGGGCTTGTTTTTAAAAAAATTTAGCGGTATGAAAATAACAAAAAGAAACTTACCCTGATAGAGTTGTGCAGCTTCTCAGCAAAATATAAGGGGGGGTAGTAGACACATTTCACTGAAAAAAAAAGGAAAGTAAAGAAGCGGCCCAAATGTTGTAATACGGTCCATATGTCACAGCACAGAGCACTCGATTCAAACACTTGCCTTCTGGCTGCAAAAAACAAACTTCTAATACCATTTCTACAAAAAATGAAATCTGGTGAAGCAAGCACCGACAGTATTAACTATTACCGAATCTTTTAGACTACTAGCTGTGATGATGAATTAGGCTCCTAGAAGAAAGGGTGCTTTCAAGTTCGTTTTGTGGTGCTGACAACGGGCTTAGTTGCAAGGATGAGCTCGCACGATGCCAAGCCCCCAGGAACCAAGCCTCTGCAAGATGATGTGTCACACGCGGGACACAGCCATGCGTCTATTATTTGAATATGGCGGTGACACGTTTGGTATTCACTTGCGGTGCATTCAAGTGTACTGCACTCGCAGTCTCGTCATTAAGGACTCATTGCAGAAGAATGACACCGGAAAAATGGAAAAATGGGAGCAGTCACATAGCGTGCTGCCGTGCATACAAAAAGTTATTGCACTATATCTATTCGCGAGACATAAAAGCCAATACTGATGCTGGACATATAAGCGAAGACTAATATTCTCAGCAGCTGCACTTACGAGTGGAGACCTTTCGTGAGCTCGGACCAAGACATTTAACGGATGTGGGCTGCGCTTGCAGTTCCGAAGGTGAGATGCCCTTCGAGTGTTTTGGAGCAGGAGCTGGAGCTTTTCTACGTGAACTCCGCGTGTTTCTGAGCTGGAGCTTTTCAAAGTGAACAAGTCGAATATGTGCCCAGGGCTTGATTTTCACCAGGCAAATGCAATACACACCGCCACAGCAGACAAAAGCGATTGATCTAATGCAATGTGACCGAAGTTGAGATGCTTTGCGTGCTCTCACATTGTTAGGGAGGTTTAGAATAACGTTCGCTGGTGCTGCTGCGGGCGTTGCGGGCGTAGTAGGTGTCATATGAGTTTTAGAATAACGTTTGCCCCTCTTAGGTAAAACATTAGAAACTTTAGCCCCCCCCCCCACCCCCCGAAAACTTAAATGCACGGAAGCTACCCACAGCCTTGAGACAAACGCTTTGCGGGCCTCGTGGGACTCACGGGCTGCACGGTATTTCAACTTTTCTGCGGGTGGACCGCAAGCACGAACGGTGGCTCGCGTTACGACGCATGCGCAGTGGCATTGACCGCACCACAAGGGCTTGCGTTGTGCTATTCTAAAGCTCCCTGTTAATTGTTTGCCGTCGGCACCGTCGCATCTGAGCGCCATCGATGAGCGAAACGTGCATCACCAATGGCGGCTCTCTTAATTGCTGTTTAGTCTACACAGTCACTCGAATCCTCCGGCGCCTCATACTTTGACGTAAGGCTGAGGCATTACTCTCGCATCTACTGTAAAAATCGGCACTCTCTTCGTTTATCATTACCTTGGCCCGAGATAGTTGGGACACACTGCATACATCTATATGTACTCACCGATAGCGAGAAATGCCCTGCGGAGGTCTCCGCTCATCTCGCTTTTGATGGCTTCGATGATGGTGTGGTTGGCGAGTGCGTTGTACTCGCGGAACACGAGGCGCAGCTGCTCGTAGCTCTGGGCGGCTATGATGCGGTTGAACGCCGACACGTCTGTGCCCCAACGAAGAACGCCTGCCCGATGTAATTCCTGGGAACAGCAGCACGCATGGCATGACTTACGTTCTCCAAAACGACGTATAATAGCATGGGCGTGAGAAGTCAACGCGGTGACTTATACGCGAAATACTTACAGCGCCTAAAGAAAGAGCGGGAGCACCCAGAATGAAACATGCTCTTAAGGCTGGTAACGTCTTTCATGCTGTGATTTTTTTTCATTTTCCCTTTTGCAGCGCTGTGCTTCAGGTATGCTAAAATTGCATAGGACTTGTCCATTCTTCGGCACTGTATAAGCCTCACGTGTCCTCTTACCTTCTCTGAGCCCCAGTTTTTTGTGGGGTTTAACGTCCTAAAACTACAATATTGTTACGCATGCCTTGGAAGAAAACGAAGATGGGTAAACATGCTGGTTGCCCCAAGCTGGAGGAAGAAAGAAGACGACGAGACTGCGATCATCAACCTGTTGGCCGCTCCGGCGCTTCTCTTCGCGACCAAAATAAACGGCCCCCTTCAGCCGTATACGTCCTGGTCCTCCTTGTGCGTAACAGATTGGTGGAAGCGTGCTGGGTAAGACAAGCCCAAAGACGGGAGCATCACTACCTGGACTACGCCGCAGCCGCCGCCTTGCCGGACTCCCGCCTGCGCCGATCGTAATGGCCCAAGATCAGCCATCTAACGCTTCAAGGCCAACTCCAATGGGTTCCGTGCCCTACTACCGAGTCCCGCCAACCTTCGGAGGAAAATCGGGAGAGGATGTCGACGCGTGGCTCGTCCAGTACAAGCGAGTCAGCAAATCCAACGGCTGGGATGCCGCCGCTCAGCTCAGCAATGCGGTCTTTTGCCTTACGGATACGGCGCTCGTGTGGTACGAAAACCACGAGGACACACTGACGACGTGGGACGTTTTTGTTGCAGAGCTGAAAGCGGGTTTCGGCGACTCGAGCGTCAAAAGGAAGCGGGCAGAGCAGACATTGTCTCAACGCGCGCAGCTTCCAGGTGAGACATGTACCACGTATATAGAGGATGTGCTGAAGCTCTGCAAGGTGGTCAATGATCAGATGTCAGAAGACGACAAAGTAGGGCATTTGCTGAAAGGCATAGCCGAAGATGTATATAATTTTCTAATCGGAAAAGAGCACCTGAGCTCGGTGTCCGACGTGATTCGGCATTGCCGAACTTTCGAACAGCTGAAAATGCGCAGGATTGCTCCAAAGTTCGGCCGGCTCACAAATGTTACAACGGTTGCCAGCATCGACACCAGCACCTGCCCAGACCTGTCCTCGACGATTCGAGAGATTGTTCGCGAAGAACTTTTTCGCTATAGAGAACAGACGCATTCAGCAGTTGATCACCATTCTGTAAACGACCAACATTCGGTATATGTGCCACGTGAGGCAGTGACTGCGCCGCCGCCTTCTACGACCCCTTGGCAATCGATGGTTAGTGCAGCAGCTGTTGAGTACAGCGCACCCCCACAGCCAAGGAGAGAACCATGGTTGCCAGCTCCACGCCATGACCGACGCCCCCAGCGTCCGTCTTCTTCGCGACGCCCGGTCTATCCCTATGATATACGGAACGAACCGACTCACTCCGCCAGAGAAGACGATGTTCGATTCATCGACGAACAAAGAGAGTTTCGACCTCTCACAGTTTGCTACTCCTGTGGTGTACCAGGACATATTTCGCGATTTTGCAACCGTCGACGTGTAGCCCCACGGTATGGCTATCCACCACACTTTGCACGGCCTTCCGAACGACTTCGCGATGACCCACGAGCAACGTACTACGGCCCACCACAACACTTCACACGATCGTCTGACCGACCGTACGACGACCCTAATGCAACACACCTGCTGCCTCGCGACGACTACTGGACACGCAGCTTCCGGAACCACTCCCCTACATCTGACAGGAGCTTGACGCCTCCACCGCCTCGTGTTCCCCGTTCTCCTTCACCACGGCGCCGCAACACGTCTCCTTTGCCACAGGAAAACTAGCAAGCGCGGCCGATGGAGGTGAGGTCGCCGGAGACGTGCTAATATCAGAAATACCTCCTGTGTTGATGCTCAAGAACAAAGTACGTGTTTTTGTTGACGGTGTGCCTGTGATGGCTTTGGTGGATACGGGGGCAACCATTTCGGTCATGAGTGCGTGTTTTAAAGATACCTTGGGGCGGAAGGTATTATTTAGGTGGAATGAAGCTGCGAAGTTTTGCGGAGTGAGTGGTGAGGCACTGCATCCTGTTGGTGTGTGTCAAGCTAACGTATTTCTCGGAGGCCGCGTTATCCCAACGGAGTTCGTGATTATTCCGCAGGCGACACATCATGTTATTTTTTGGTATGGACTTTTTGAGGGAGTGTGGTGCGACTGTCGACTGCCGCACAGGGACAATAGTCTTGAGTGATCACGTTCCGCCAGCACTCTTGGAAAACCCTGTGCATGATGAGACGGCATTGTGTGTCTGTGGCGACACTATCATACCACCGTTATCAACCGTTCGTGTACCTGTTGGTTGCAGCGACAGCTATTCCGCCAACTTTGATGCCAACATAGAACCAGTGTACACCAACTGCATGAAAAAAAATGTGTTGATCCCACATTGTGTGGTGTCGATCAGACGTGGACGCGCTGGTTTATGGACTGTCAATTGCTCTACAGAACCCGTGATGTTACCAGATGGTCTAAAGTTAGCCGTCGTGAGTGGACAACACGAGGCCTTACTGGTGACCGAGCTTAGAGATGCGCCGGAAGAGCATCGTAGTCACAGTTTCGAAACGGCTCTTCTGTCAATGGTGAATAAGTCGCTGAGCAGAAGTGAACGCCGAACATTGGCCAATGTACTTTCGAAGCACGTCTCTGCATTCGACTTTGCGCAGAAAGACAAAGCGCCCCTAATCCCTGCTTCTCGGACATGTCACACTATCAACACGGGTTTGGCCAATCCGATTAGACAAAAACCATACCGTGTTTCGCCATCCGAGCGGCGGATTATTAATGAGCAGGTGAACGAAATGATTAAAAACGGTATCATTCAAGAGTCGGTAAGTCCATGGGCAGCTCCAGTAATTCTCGTTAAAAAGAAAGACAGATCCTGGAGATTTTGCGTCGATTATCGCCGATTGAATGCTGTAACAAAAAAAGACGTGTACCCACTTCCACGTATTGATGATGCCATAGACTGTCTGCATTCGGCCTCTTACTTTTCCTCTGTAGACTTAAGATCGGGCTACTGGCAAATTCCCATGCATCCTGAAGATAAAGAAAAGACAGCCTTTGTAACACCTGACGGCCTTTTTGAATTCAACGTGATGCCATTTGGACTGTGCAACGCGCCGGCGACGTTCGAGCGATTTATGGACACTGTTCTTCGTGGCTTGAAGTGGAGCATTTGCATGTGCTATCTCGACGACGTCGTCATCTTTGGCCGCACCTTCAGCGAACACAATTCACGTCTGGATACTGTACTGACTTGCATAAGAAACGCTGGCCTTGTTCTTAACTCAAAGAAATGCCACTTCGGAGACCGACAAACTCTTGTTCTCGGGCACCTAGTGGATCAGGAGGGCATCCGCCCAGATCCCCAGAAGACAGCAGCCGTTGAAGCATTCAATGTGCCGCGCTCTGTGAAGGAGCTCCGCAGTTTTTTGGGGCTTTGCTCCTATTTTCGCAGCTTTATACCTAAATTTGCCGATTTCGCGTATCCGCTGACATGTTTGCTACGGAAGAATACTCCCTTCGAGTGGACTCCGGAGTGCGACTCCTCTTTTCGTCAACTGAAGTTCCTCCTGACGTCGCGGCCAGTTCTTCAACACTTCAACCCATCAGCTCCAACCGAACTGCACACAGATGCCAGCGGCATAGGAATTGGTGCCGTCCTAGTTCAACGCTATGGTAACCGCGAGCACGTGATTGCATACGCAAGTCGCTCCTTGAGTAGGCCCGAGCAGAATTATACTGTCACAGAGCAAGAATGCCTCGCGGTAGTATTTGCGATTCGGTCTTACTTATACGGACGCCCTTTTACAGTCGTCACCGACCACCCCTCATTGTGTTGGCTCGTCAACCTTCGGGATCCTTGCGGCCGTCTAGCGCGCTGGGCACTTCGGCTCCAAGAGTATAACTTCATAGTCTCGTACAAAAGTGGTCGACGACACGCCGACGCAGATTGCCTTTCGCGCATGCCACTGAGCACTACAGAGTGTGACGCCGATGACCTCGATAACCTCGTAGCTTCTGTGTCACCAAAGTTTCCCGACCTCAGTACTTTCAAAGATGAACAGCGAAAGGACACCAGGCTATCATCGCTTTGCACAGCTCCTACGGCATGCCATTTCTGTGTACGCAACGGACTCCTATATAAGAAGAACTTTTCCAGCACTGGCGCACGTTTCCTCCTGGTAGTGCCAGAAACCCTTCGGACAGCGATTTTAGGTGTGATGCACGACGATCCTACGTCCGGACATTTAGGTTCTGCGCGGACGCTTTACCGTGCTAAGGAACGCTTTTATTGGCCAGGAATGCGACAGTCAGTCGAGGCGTATGTGGCCAGCTGCACACAGTGTCAACGCCACAAACGCCCGTCTACTGCTCCGGCTGGTCTTCTACAGCCCTTGCCACCTCTAAGCACACCTTTCCAACAGGTGGGCATTGACCTCATGGGCCCTTTTCCAAAGTCGGCTAAGGGCAATCGCTGGATAATTGTATGTGTCGATTACCTCACGCGCTACTGCGAGACGGCGGTCATACCAACCGCAACTGCCAGCGACGTCTCTGTGTTCCTGCTGCAGCACGTTATCCTCCGACATGGCCCACCTCAGGTGATCATCAGTGATCGTGGGCGACAATTTACGGCAGACATAGTAGAAGAGCTGCTTCGATTGAGTGAGTCCCGCCTTCGTCACTCGTCGCCATACCATCCGCAAACAAACGGGCTCACGGAGCGCACCAACCGAACAATTGTAAACATGCTCTTTATGTATGTGGCATCCGACCACAAGAACTGGGATGACGTGCTACCATTTATAACGTACGCGTTCAACACCGCTAAGCACGAGACAACAGGCTATAGCCCCTTTTTCTTGATGTACGCACGACCGCCACGGCACACACTCGACACAGTTTTACCATTCTCGGCGCACGAGGACCTCTCGGTCACCGAAATCCTCTGCCTTGCAGAAGAGGCGCGTCGTATTGCTCGTCTACGCACTTTGGCATCACAGGAAAAATCGAAGGTACGCTATGACGTCCGCCACCGGCCTGTAACTTACCACCCAGGCGACTTAGTGTGGCTGTGGACTCCGGTACGAAGACGCGGGTTATGCCAAAAGTTCTTGGCCACATACGACGGACCGTTTGTCGTTCTCGACAAAATCACGGAAGTCACATACACAATAGCTCGCCTCATCAGAAGTGGTAGAAGAGCCGCTAAAACCCAAGCAGTCCATGTCGCTCGACTGAAGTTGTACACACCAAGGTGAATCGGTTACCTCGCCCGGCGGGCTTCGTCTGCGAAGGGAGGAATGTTACGCATGCCTTGGAAGAAAACGAAGATGGGTAAACATGCTGGTTGCCCCAAGCTGGAGGAAGAAAGAAGACGACGAGACTGCGATCATCAACCTGTTGGCCGCTCCGGCGCTTCTCTTCGCGACCAAAATAAACGGCCCCCTTCAGCCGTATACGTCCTGGTCCTCCTTGTGCGTAACAATATAATTAAGACGTCGTAGTGTAGTGCCCTGAAAATTTAGACCAACTGGCGTCCTTTGACGTGCGTCCAAATATGAGCAAATGGGCCTCCAGCATTTTTTTCTCCATCGAAAATGCAGCCGCCGCAGTCGGGATTTGATCCCGTGACCAATGGGTCAGCAGCATAGTACCTTAGCCACTATACCACCATGGTGGGGCATTCACTGAGACCTATTAAATCCCATTTCACGCCCTACAATTCCTCGAATATTAGAGCTAGACTAGCCTCACTAGATAGCGTTCTAGCGTTAAACGTAGCCGAGTTCAGGTTCCAATGGTGGCATGTCCAGACTCAGATATTCTCAGCAACCTCCACTGCGTAGCAGGTCTGACCACCGCCATGACAGTTGCTTCGCAGCCACTGGGGAGCGAGGGCCAAGGTTTAATTGCTGTGTTCATATGGAAGTAACATTTCTCAATTCGTAAATAACCCTGTACAGCTAGGCACTGGCGTAAAGACCGCAGAAACAAAAACGGATGCAGGACTCACACTAGCGTCACTGCGTGCACGGGCAGAATCCAAAGGGATGTTTTCTTCCCGCTGCGCCTGGAAAACACAGTTTGAATTTTTTAATCCGAAAGTGTTTTGTGCCGCGGTCAACCGAAATTTCACTGACCTCATTCTGTGGTCTTAGGAAAATTCCCACAAACAGATGACCAATAAAAGTAAGAAGCAAAAGTTCGTAGATTTGGGTGACCTAAAAATTCATCCCGTGTCTTCTCGGTGCTCAGCGCTCTACCCACTGCGCCACCGACGTACACTGTCAATTCTTATGAAAGGGAACACGCGAGCGCGTTGCCTGCGCACTCCGGCAGCTGCTTGTAGCGTGTTCTAGCCGGAGCGAGAACAACCGCAGCCTCTCTTTGCGTCACCTAGGAGGCGAGCAAAGCAAACAGTCATTGATTATATGAAACCAATGGCAAGATTGCTGCCCCTCCCCCTTCTAGGTGATTACGCAAGAGTGGTAACGTGTAACTTCGTTTATTCAATGTCATTAAATTGTCGCTTTCTACTTGCAGTGTAGCTCTGACTGGCACAACTGATAGTGTTGTCGTTCGCTTTGGCATGATCTCTTCATTTTCCTAAGTGAGTGTGTGCCTTCCTTTTCTGCAAGAAACGATAACCGTGCTGCGTGTATCCAACAGGAAAGTGTCTGACACATTATGTCACTACAGTTATGATGTATCATATGAAAATTTTCATGTTTTTTGGCCCACAAACTGAATTTCGGTGTACATTGCTTTCCTACGAGAACGTTGTGACATTGATTATAGTGACTGTCTGTAAACTGGTATGTAATCAGTTATTATGGCCAGAATACGGCACATAAGCTCAGCCCACCAGAACAACCAATGCATGGTGAGTTTGACTCTGTTATTCAGTAATCGTGACTCTAAGTAAACGCAGCGAACAAAATCTACAACTGAAAAAGGCTAGCACGCCTAATAAGTATGTTAACATAATGGATCATTATAGATTCCTATACGAAGAAATTAAGGAAGAACGTTTTCACAACAGAACTTGTCTGTAAACACTGAACTCTGTATTTTTTTGTGTCGTAGTTTGTCGCACCAATTTCGCACACTTACATTGCACATCGACACCAACAGACGCCGAAAATTACCAGACGTGTCGCCAATGACGTCCCTCTCAAGGTCTTTCTGAAATACTGAAAGAAAGAAAGTAACTTATTTTAGGGTGGCTCAATAGAAGTATAAAGCCACAGAACTAATTGATGTCTTAATAATAAACCAACAAAACAATGACACTGTATAGAGTTAAAACATAGTTTTCTCAAACAGTTACCCGTGAAGAAACATTAATCAATGAGCACCAGTGTCAGCTAATTAGAATATGATTTCAGTAATTTGTGCAAATACAGTGGAAGGGAATCGGTATAAGTTTTTTTCCATCTTTTACTCGCGAGCACACACCTGCTACTCGGCGCAAGAAAAAAAAAACGCTGACATTTTGTTTACATATTCTTTTCGTGGTAGGTAACAACAATAAATGTATGTTATACAGGAGCAACGTCGGGAATGAGTGGTTTGTGGCCAAGAATTGTCAATCAAAAAAGCACAGAAGATTGATGTCTGATGTCCTAAAATGTGGGCTGCAACACAATGCTCGCGAAGCAAAGGTTTCAAGACTTGCTCAGAAGTGACGAGGTAAGAACAGCTTTTCAACGGAACACCCCTCCAATCGCTTGAGCCAGCTTTCGACACACCGGCAACACCGCGCAGACTTGGAGTCCTCCTGACCAGATGTGTTGTAGCTCTCATGGAACTCTGTGAGCCCAAATTATGTTTTTATTATCTTGTGGCCATCAGTTAAAGATGCATGCATCAGCAAATTTTATTGAAGGCTCATAGAAAATCAGGTAAGGTTCCTGGCCTTTTTCATGAGGAGGGAAGCCAGGACTGCACAAGGATGATATAAATACCATCTGCAATCATTTAGAAAAAGGGTGACACTCTTGGCACTGGATACGCCCGTGCAGTCCATGTCCACCGTAAGACCAGGCCATAACGCGGGCTAGCAGAAATCGCCTAAGACATGGCCGTATGGAGAATAACGTCATTTCCCTAGGAAAAAAATTACAAGTATCGTTCAACGTCAGGAGGTGAGTGGTAAGTACCAACGCTGAATTTAACTAGCTGTTTTAGAGAAGTACATATTTATTACTCTAATGGTGAGAATGGACTTGACGTTAGGTCAACTGCATATAAGGAATCTAAATTTTTATGTATCCATTCAAAGTATACCAAGTTAATGTAGTAATCAAACAAGCAACCCTATCACTTTTTCAACTGAACAAACGTATACGTAGATTACGGATTGTTGTTTGAGAATATCACGAGTATAATATGCCGAAGTTTTATTTCTGTCGGCAATATTAACGTCCTCGTTAGGCTTGATAAACTAAAGCAGTAGTTTTTTGAAGGTGAGTCAACTGATTACAACGACCCGTAACTCCAGGTTTAACACACCAAACCTCAAAATTTCACGCAAAAAAAGTGGCATTTAACGATTGTCACTTTAATCATCAACACGAGTTCCTCTTTCAAAACTCGTCAGGCAAACGCGATAAAATACATAAATGAGTTTTTATTTTGTGCATGAACTGTATACACGTGTTTACAAAAGTGTCTAAACACCCTTAAGAATAAATCAAAAGGAATATTTCCGGACTGCTTTCATAATTACTTTTCCTGTAGTGAAATCAGTATTCAGTTTACTAAAGGCATCAATTACGGCAATAGTAAATAAATTCTATTAACGTTTTTTTATTAGTGGAGTCAGATCGTCGTGCCACATGAAAGAATTCAAGTGTCCTTTCTGCGAAAAGTTTATTGCCCCTCTGAAACTTCTAGAAAGTGGCCCCTGATAGCTACTGCGGAGCAATGAGATTCGACTTTTCTTAACCGGCATTATGGAATTGCCGGAATAATTACAAGTACAGCCCACACACCCGAGAAGCGAAGACTTTCGATGGTTCTCGCTCATACTGGACATGGCGGAAAATTATGAGAGTTGCGCTACTCCGCGTCCCGTTTTCGCCGGCGCAAGTCATATTATACACCACTCTGGTAATATTGCCAGCGGCTGGTTTCTGACAAATCTCAAAGCGGCTGTGCGCTCTTCAAAAAAAGAGCTTTATTTCTCACATGTGACTCGATCGCTCGTCCCCGCTAATGAAACGTTCATTAATTGAGTTACTTTCATCACTGCGGTGACTCATCTCTTCAGTTATGCTAGGATTCCGCACCTACGGAAAAGGTAATCACGACGATAGCAAACAAACGTCCGGCATTTCTTGAAGCGACCTCTGTTCTGCATTGCAAAACGGCCCCTTCTTGATATGGCCGTAGGGTTCGCAATCACAAGCCTTCTTTGTGTTTGATCATAATCCTTCAATATTATTTGAAAATATTGAATAACTATAGTTTGACAAATATAGCTCAGTTAATTGGACCTCAGGATTTGTGAAGCTTTCACCTGTATACGCGCTCAGTAAGAAAGAAGCGCATGGCAGTAAAAAAAAAACATTACAGCCATAGGTTCGTCTTCGCTGCATTGAAAACAGGGGTCTATGAAATGCTGTCACTCACTCCGCTGGTAGTGATCCTTGATGAGCCTGATGTCTTGGTTGCTGTGCGTGCAAAGTATTTCGATTAGGCACTCCTCATCAGTGCCCAGACCAGCGATGGCCTTGCGTAGCTCGCGAGCTAGGTACTCGTGCAGAGGATAGAGCAGCCCCACTATGATGTCCTCGAGGTTGGTGCGCAGAGCAGACTTCACGTCCGCTACTATGTCCTGGAATGATCAGACGAAGGCCACCGTTATTTTCTTTTACTTTTTTTCAGTACAGCTTGCCGATGCTACCGGCAAGTGAATTAATATACACAAGTGCACGAAGAAGTAAACCGAGAGCGAAATTTTCTGTGCTGCGTGAAGGGACTTACACGACCGAATGATTGCTTGTAGAATCTGACGATCTCCTGCCGCTGGTCGTCCGATCGCGCGCACAGGATTTCGATGACTGTAGCATGGTCCGTGGCTGCAATGAGAAAAATAAACTGCTGAGCGAGTTCATTTAGGAACACATCATAGACCCCAGAAGAACCATAGGATAGGGGAAGACGGGCATAGTGTACAATTAAACACGTAATATACACGTAATATATTGCATGCATACAGTGCATGCATACACAGTGCAACAAAGCTAAGAAAAAAATGTAGACCATCTTTCCGAAGGAAACCACGATAGAATGCCGAGCAGCAGCGGTGCGCACGCCGTTGACCCGGCTGAAACGGGTGTCAACGAGACTGTTGGGAAAACGGTTTGAACCGAAAATTCGGTGTAGCCTTTACTCCAGTGAACATTGCTTTGAAAAGCGAAGACACGGCAGGCAGGTTGGGTTTCGTGCAAATTTCATCGCAGACAAACGAGCCGAAAAAGTGTTTCCACTCGACGTGCAGTCGAGTGTAGCGGGCGGTGAAGAAGGTGAAGAGATAGACAAGTGTGTTGCGAGCGTGCGGAGGAGCAACACCACCTAGGTGTGTTGGGAGGGGCCGGTAGCTGCTTTGGGTGAGCGAGAGAGTGCCGTCAACGTGCAGCTGTGAGTTGACCTACTCGGCAATGTTCCAACAAGTGCGGCGGGGGGAACGCAGTGTGGTGCGTTGGCATGGAGACACGAATGGACAGCGTTACACACTAAAGTGAAATCGCTGCTACGCATCTTAAATTCCTATTTATCAAACTACGCAGTTGCTGTCAGTCAGCTAGCTTCGTAACCGCGGAACCACCCTTCACATTATTCACTGGCTTTGCGAAAACTTCGCAATCGCAAGGGTGCGAGTCGCCGACGTTTGTAAACTTCAGCGGCGGATCGACATGGTTTATGCAGAAAGGCGGCCAGTGGTCGAGGCTATTGTGACGGAGTCGTGACAAGGACGAAGGTAATAGACTCGATGTTCAGATGAAACTCTTTATTCGGCCGAACTTGCGGTCGCTAAATGAAGTCATATTACAGCTACACACTAGCACTGAGAGCAGCGAACAGAGCGTAGGCCGTCGATCAACTGACAAGCGGCGAAGAACGTCGGCATTCATACATGTGCCCGTCGAATGTTCCAGCCTCATCACTGGTCGTCGTGCAAGCTATGGAATAATCTGGAGTGTTTGTGTCTTGCACCCAATCTCAATGGAACAATCTAAAATAATCGCGAACATTCTAGAACAGTGAGGTGCAGTTTGCGTGGAGAATTCCTGACAGATTTTGTGAGCGGAAACCGCAACAAAAGTGAAAATAAGAAACGGGCATGGCGTTGCCCCTCTGAAAAAAAAAACACATTGTCCTCCTGCTTAAAAAAGAACATGGGGGAAAAATGCATGAATAATAATAATAATGAGAACAAAGCAAGACAGTATAATAATAAATTCACACTAATGGAGAAATAACAACAAAGAATACAGTCCTAAAGTTTGTTAACGTGCGCGAAATAGCTTTAGGCGTTTCACGCGGACGACTTAATGAACGAATTAAGGTGGCCCACCCAGGGTTCGTGACGCCGTCAGGGACAATCTCGTAGTAGAGTGTGCCGAGATGTCGAACTACTTTGTACGGTCCAAAGTACCGTCGCAGAAGTTTTCATTGAGGCTTCGTCGGTGTACTGGCGTTCATACCCAAACGCGGTCGCCTGGCTGGTATTACACGAAGCTTCGTCGAAAATTGTAACCGCGGTGGTCGGTCGTCCACTGATTTTCGATGCGCAGGCGGGCGAGCTGACGAGCTTATTCAGCGCTCTGAAGGTAGATGGTGACATCGAGATTTTCTGCATGGCGTCGAGCGTTGTGGAAAAGTTCCTTTCAAAGACCAACTGGCATGGCTTCATCTGCGTCGTTTCTTGGATGGCCATGTTGTACGCGAAAGTCATGAACGTGCGGAAGGATGGCATTCCATGTCTTGTGTTCAACGTCGACGTACATGGCCAGCACGTTGACGATTGTCTTGTTTAGACGCTCGGTGAGGCCGTTGGTCTGAGGGTGGTACGCTGTCGTCCGGCGGTGGTTTGTTGGGCTGTGTGCGAATATCGCCTGAGTAACTCTGCGGTGAAGTCATACTTCTGTCGGTAATGAGGACCTCTGAGGCATCATGACGCTGAACGATGTTCTCGACGAAGGACTTCGCACGTCAAAATTTGGATATCACAAGGCCTCACAATCACTACCAATTACTGCGAAGAAGGAATCCAGATTCCTTCCGATTCCTATACCGGTACTTATGAATTCCAGATTCCTATACCAATTCCTATGACGGAGAGATCAGGCATGTTTGTTTTGTTGCTGTTGTTTATCCCTCTGGTCAATTTACCAAAACACAGACCTCCAAGTCATTTTTTTTTCGTGTCCTTCCCATGCGACGCTACAGCAGCCATTCTCTCGAATATATGAACAAAGCCTAAAGTGCCTGCATAGCATGGTCTTCCTGTTTCCTCTCCAAACAAGTAACAACGAACTTACGCGCCACTTATCCAAATTGACCATTGGTTGATTGTATTGCAGTAAGTTACTCATTTTCTGCACTTACTCCATCCTTTGAGTGCTTTCCTGAGCGCCTCGACATCCTGCTGAACATTGAAGTTTCTGTATGGTTTGATGGTCCCCTGCACAGACAACAACGGGCAATTAGTTTTACGGCTTGGTTGTAGGAATTAGAGGAAAACAACCCCTCATATACAATACATGCATGAAGGAGTTCAATCAAAGGAGATGCATCAATCAATGCGATGTCATCACAGGTTTTCTCGTAAATGACAGTGCGTGAATATTTACACGTATTAGTAGGGGCAGAAGAAGTTAGTTGCTTTTTTAACCAAGTAAAAAGCCATTCGCTACGAGTGCCTGTTGGTCGTTTCCTCAGGCAAAAATATGTTGTAGATAACTACCTTCACATTAACGAATGGTATAAATCACTTAGCGTTTTACAAAATTTTGTTACAAAGCTTACATCACAGAGTGAAGTAGTTAAGGTGTTCAATGTTTTTTAATGTAAATTTCAGCGTAACCGTTACATAGAGCGCTGTGTTCGTCTAACTATATACGCAGCACAAGTGCAGATGTGTACACATTTGTGTTCTGGTGTTTCTCGTTCTTCTTATATCTAGTTCTATGCTCTGATGTTCTCAAAAGCTATGTGCTATATCATTCCTGCCTGGTTTCTACTTTGACGCCATTTATGTTGTGCACACGTATAATCGTCCCTTGACACTTTGACTCCTGCTAAGGAGAGTGTTTCACGCACAGCGAAGTCGGTATGAATATAACCTAGAACCTCAAGAAGCGATGATGAACATTCCCAGCAACGCATGTCCTAAGAACGTTGTCTAGAACCATGGCAGCAAAGACTTAGCCAAAGCAAACATCATGCTACGTACAGACACGTATGCTCTGGATTTCACTTACCTGCTAAGTGGCAGTACGTATACTTCCTCCTCTCCATCAATGTTATGAAACGAGCAATGTCCTCAGGCAAAAAAAAATCTACAAATACGAACAACCACTATTCAAAAGCTGCGTCGCAGGGAAAACTTCAGCAACAATAAACGACAGGTCGCGTTTTGTCATAACTTGTATGGCTAGCTTTCAATCCTGCTTACATCTTCCGAGATTCAAGAGCTGCCCAAAAGAAAAGTGCGATGGCTCATAGCAAAATAAAAGGAACAGGATTGTGGTTTTTATCAATTCGCTGCAGCAATACTTCGATTTCCAAATTCCTTTCAGCTGATGTCCACTTCACTGTTCTATTTAGAAGGAGATACTCTAATTGAAGTGAATTAATAAATGCTCAGGATCGTGCCCCGCACACAGCCAGTGGTCTCACCCTTCCTGGGGGATAGCAACTGGTTCCAGCTTGCGAGCCGCCGTAGCAGCCGGACGAAGCCCCGTAACCAATGATTCCACCGGATGGCGAAGCGTATGGCGCACCGCTGTCGGCAGAACCATATCTAAGGGTCGAACAACCGGCGGAACGGCTGCTCGAACTGTAACCACGAGTGGGGTAGCGGCCGTCAACAGGCAACTGGTAACCAGGACGCGAAGTGTGGGGAGGAACAGAACTTGATGATGGGTAGGCGCCCGTGGTATAGCCAAGTGACGTTGACGATGCTGACGGAATCAACCTCACTGGCATCGGCATCTGAGGCAAGGAGGGCGCCCTGTGCGGGGAAGGTGGCCCTCCAGGGAAGGGGGGCGCTCCTTGCGGTAAGGGAGGCGCTACAGGCATGGAAGACAGAGGGGGTGATCCGGTCCCAGGCATGGCCAGTGAGGGCGTCCTGTGTGGATACACTCCTGACCGAGGATAGTATTCGTCTCCTAGGCTTGGGACCATTGTTGGCGAAGGCCCTGGAAAGAGACAAAGATAACTCATCTATTGACTTTTTATGCGTCTTTTTTATTTGTGCATTGATATGTCGTGCAAGATGTGGTGAAACGCTTGTACACAGATGTCACTGTTCCCAGCAAATTTTCATTTGGATATATTTATATACAATCTCTGCTTTTCAATGTGTACTAGGGTGCATTGCATAGCACGGTTCACTGAACTAGTTCATTGCTTCCTTTGAGCTCATTGATATGACCCTTCTGCCACTTTGTAGTGAAGTTCCTGTCAAGCCACATAGCCTTTAGCTTAGCTTTATTTGGTTGTACGTCTTTTTAGAAATAAAACGGTTCAATCATTCATTCAATCATTCGAATCTTTTGATTTCAACGAAGGAAATAAAGAGGTGACTGTTTGTAGGTCTTGTGGTTCCATCCCACGAATTTTCCTTAGAGAGGGTGCGCCTGCGTGCATGGTACTATTGGGAACAGAGACAGTATGATATAGGTATTGATTGGTGATTTATTGATATGTGGGGTTTACCGTCCCCAAATCACCATACGGTATACGTATGACGAGCTTACCGTTGGACCTGTAAGATTATCGGTCACCGGAAAGCGTCGATCATGAGGGAACAACATTCAAAAACAGAATTACTTGCTGATTACCTAAGATACATGCTAATAGGCGCAACATTACAGAGCGAACCCGGACATGACTATCTTTGTGTGAGAATTGATATCCAAATAAAGGAAAAATTATGAATTATGCAAAGTAGTTTCATGTGCGCAACCACATAATCAAGATTGCAATAGCGCGTTAGTTAATGCGTTGCCACTCAAGTTTGTTATGAAGGCAGAAAATTAATTTTCGCACCTTAAAGTGACAACACGCCCATCCAGCGGCTTCACCCTTTCTGGAAAGCAGCAGGTGGTTCCAGCATCTGGGTTTTCATGTCTATAGTTTTCGTGAAATAACTATTACCTCACCCGTCTGGTCACATGTGTATGGCTACTTTCCTGGTACACAAAGCACAACACATCTGCCCACGAAGAACCCAAATTTATTTTAATCATACGCACACAGATTTGTGTCATTGAGAAACAGTGCCACTATCTAAGCTCCACCGTGGACTCTTGAACCTCCTTATTCGCCAAAGTTTTGTTACGATAGGTTTTCATCCATGTCGATGAAGAATTTGTTAGTCATCAATGCCGAAGATGTTTCCTCTCCTCTGCACATACATACATAAAAATACATCCCTAGCACTGTCTTTAACTACTTGCCTAGCATACTTCATAAGTTCATTTGAGTATACATAAAAAGCGTTACTGCAACATAAGGAGGAGAAAAGAAAGAAGTGAAATAGCGCGACTGAAAAAAAGGAGGTATTATTCTGAAAAAGATATCGGACTCCACACAGCTAGACTACAACTTTTTTAACAGCTGCGAAGAGTACTCATGAAGCTCTGTCTTGGAAACACAAAAATGTAACACTGCGCGATGCTGAAAAAAAAAAGCGGTACTCCCTTAAAATGCTGAAAGGAGTCCATAATCAGTCAAGACGTCAAGGTGCTATAGAAACAGAAGGGCAGTACTGAGTACTAGATAAAGAAGCTGCCTCGCTCTCTTAATAAGTGTGCAACGAAAAAAAGGGACAGTTTGGCCACCAGGGCGAAGCAGAGAATGCGATAGTGATATATTGGAATGTCGGAAATTGGAACGAAGAGAAGCTAGCAGCTCATTGCTTTAGCATGAGACCTGCCGATAATTCAAACAAAACGCTGACTTGAAAAAAAAGGTGGTCACTGCACCGAGCAAAATGACCTTCATGGTGCCTATGGCTACAACGTGAGAAAACGCAACATGCACAGAGGTGTGAGCCGTTGGTTGATCTATTGGTCAAAATGTGCACATTATGTCTACAGCCCTTTTTCCCCTACTCCTCTATTTGCCTTTCACGTGGCGGAGACGACAGGCTCGTTTCACCTCTGCTTGACCCACTTTCGTCGGCAACACTAGCGCTGTTTCGTTCCCTGCTAGAAAATACGGCAAGCGACGTCATTTTACTGGTTTGGACTTCACGGGGAATATGACGGTGACGCCGACCCGAAAACACTACGCCTAATGTGCCCATATTGATGCTATCGGAATAAAACGCGTGCTTTCGCCTGTGTCATCCCGTTGCAAACAGCATATTTAAGTCCTTCGCGTCGTAACATTACAGGGTGCAATCTGATCCGTAGCCAGCATCCCGTACCCATCTGCAACCGGTAAAGACGTACTTGTAGAAAGAGCTTGCCTTTCACTTCTTTGATACGTACAGAAGCGGTGTCATCACACAATAATTAATAATAATAATAATAATAATAATAATAATAATAATAATATGGGGAAGTTAACAACCCAAAAAAATGAGATGATTATGAGAGACGCCGAAGTGGAAGGCTCCAAAAATTTCGGCCATCTGATGTTCTTTAACGTGCACTGACATCACAGAGTACATGCGACTCAAGCATCACTGCATATGAAGAAGACTCATGAATAACAGCGACCTTACTTTAAAAGTTGAATTGATAGAATAAAAACAGTGGGCACTGCATTATTCCAAAATACATTCCATCCCAAAACTGAGAACTACATTCACATCCATTTGGATGACTCCAGCACAATATTAACCCGCACCAGACGCTGGAAGACAAGAAGAGCTCACAAGGGACACTTATTGTTTGATTTTTTTTTTACTATACTACAAGGAATCACTGTACACAGTTGAAAATGAAGGCTCGGATAGCAAGGATAGAGAAGTATACGGGAGCCTATGTAGGAAAAGGTGTGGAATAAACGAGAGCGTAATCAAGCCCGCGCCGTCGCTTCCAAACGATAGCACGAAATCATGACGCTATCAGTTCCTTCAAAGACCCTTCGCAACAACAACAAAAAATGAAGCATCAAAAGACGCCAAGACACCGCTAGCGTGCCAATTTTCCCCCTCAGGAAAGCCGCGAACAACGAGCGGTCTCGAATCAAGCGCGGGGAAATGTCTCGAAACATCATGAAAGGTTACATGATGCAACGCCGGGGATGCCACCGCGAGTGTAACCAGTGCAAAAAAAATGTAGTCCTTTGCAAAGCTCTCAATGCGTTACGCGCCGAAGAATGATGCGGAATGTTCGCGAAACAATGCAGGTGAAAGCGGATACTAGCGTGAGTCAACGGAGGGTCTTTCATGATAGTGAAAGGTGGTGAAGCTAGTGAAGAAGTTATGCTGATCAAGTGAGTCATGTAATGCGCTCAGTCGATCTTGAATACTCATTTGATGACGCCGATAGATAAGTATTGGAGCGCGTCACCGAGTAGACCAACGACGGAAGATGATGACGATCAACGCTGGAATGGTGTGGGTGTTTCCTGAAAGTGAAATATTCAAGATACGTTTCAAGAATTGTGGACTTGACGCGTTTATTTATTACACGGTTTTTTAAAATAGTTCGTGATGCATAATCTTGCATTTGTCGATTTGTTTGTTCTCCTTGCTTTACACACCATTTAATATATATTCTGAAATGTAACTAACGTCTGCCGAGTGTTGCATGTTTGTGTGTTGCTTGTACTACAATAACTAATAATACATCTTTGTGCCATCAACTCTTGGCTCTGGCTCGATCTTTGGACCACAACTGGTGATCGCTGCTGCACTGAAAAGACTAACACTAAGTTGCCCGAGCTTTCGTGGAGCGTTTCTGGTGGCTGATACGTCAGCCCTTGGAATCTGCCCGGTGAATGCCTCACCATAGACGGGATCATGGTGATTGCCTGTTGTATGTCAATATGCGTTCTTTAAAGCAGTAAGGGTTGATTTGGTTGATATTTGAGGTTTAACGTCCGAAAACCACCATATGATTATGAAAGACGCCGGAGTGGAGGACTCCGGAAATTTCGACCACGTGGGGTTATTTCAAGTGCACCCAAAACAGAGCACACGGGCCTACAGCATTTTCGCCTCCATCGAAAATGCAGCCACCGCCACCACCGCCGGGATTCGATCCCGCGACCTGCGGGTCAGCAGTCGAGTACCTTAGCAACTAGACCACCACGGCATATATATATATATATATATATATATATATATATATATTAAACTGAATATTTTTGAAAAATCAGCTCAAGCACAGAGCATAGGTTGCTTTTTTTTTTGAGCTGCAGGTTATTCGAGAAGGCGTATTTTATGTGCTGGCAGTAATAATTGACTTTTCGCCAATTTCAAGGGGTTGAGTATTTTAGAAGTAATCTTAGGATGACGCCAGTATTGGCGTTGATTGGATTACAATTTCATTGCCACAAAAATTGCATGAGCCCGTCAAGAACTAGCGGAGTCGCGAAGATTCATCACACGTTTTAAGTGATTTCCCCTGTCGTCTTGACGAGGGCGTTGGAAGATACACAGAGAGAGTTGTCACGGGGGAAAGAAGCTTTGCCAGCGAGTGCGTGGCATGACCCTGGGCACGCTTGATGAAACGCGATTCCTCTGCTCCGTTGCGATTCTCGTGCGCGAGGGTGGCCACTACAAGGCGGCTTTTGTGGAATGTTAGCTGACTGTGGAGCGCGGTGACGGCACGCGGCGGCCACCAGCAGCAAGAAGGGCATCTGATCTAAATGCCCTCTTAAGAAACGTGTAAACGGCCCGCCGCGGTGGTGCAGTGGCTAAGGTACTCGGCTGCTGACCCGCAGGTCGCGGGATCGAATCTCGGCTGCGGCGGCTGCATTTCCGATGGAGGCGGAAATGTTGTAGGCCCGTGTGCTCAGATTTGTGTGCACGTTAAAGAACCCCAGGTGGCCGGCATTTTCGAAGCCCTCCAATACGGCGTCTCTCATAATCATATGGTGGTTTTAGGACGTTTATCCCCACATATCAATCAAAAGACACATAAACGAGGAATGCGAGGGGTGCATGAATTGCCGAAACCAGCCTCCTGGCTACGCCTATGGCGGTTATTGTAGATCGTCGTCTGACGGGAGCTGAAGTGCATTCCATCCCCAACGACGAGACAGGCAACACGGTGAGCTGCAGCGCCATCAGGTGAATGGCCCGCCAGGCAGAGCCCAATCACGTGCACAGATGACGTAATTTGAATGCCGTTTATACGACGCCGATGTGTGGTAGCGGCTTGTCCACACAGTACGTCAGGTAATGCCATCAAATTCGAACTCCAGAATCATGTTAGCATGCATACACACCCACCTGCGGCTGATGAGGAGGGCAAGTCTACGAAGCCTGCTGGCGGCGGACGGGATGCACCCTGCTGCCCTTCGGCATCCACGAAAGGCACCGATCCTATGTCTCCCGGTGGGTAGGAGGTCGAGGATGCCGGGAAGGGTGGCGGGTAAGGCAGGTTTGAGCCCCTGCCGCCAGTGTTCGAGGTGTCCATTGCGCCGGTTCCCACCAACCAACACTGCACCTCTTGACTGGCCTGTGACATGCAGAACAGCGCCGATATGTAACCGCCACAGACACCGCTGCGATGCGCGCCGGGTTCACTGCAGCGTAATTTCTATGGCACGCCTTTCCGCTGCGCCCTACAGCTGCCGGGAAAGATTATGTGATTGGATATCTGCATTTCCGCTGCGCTGGCTATATTAACACGTAAATAAGTCGCTTTCATGAAAGGTAAACAAGGGCTCAGTGTACAAGAGCTCACAGCTTCAGTATCAACCAACTCAAGAAGAATTGTGTAGAAAAATATTTTTGATCTTATGTTGACCACTCCCATGCAGGGTATGTAATGCGGTCGTGTAATACGAGGTGACTGTCAAAGGCCGTGGTATTCTAAACCTATAGGCAGATTGCCCGAATGTCTCTTTGAAATCTTGCCACGATGCTCGTGTAGTTTTGCGTGAATGCCCGAACGTTCTCGATTGGTGCCAGTGTGTCTCATTTGAAGTGTCTGGATAACGGTGCTGGCATTCAGCCTAAGGTCGCTTGAACGCCGCGGACAAGTGGAGCAAAAAGCATTTCATACTTGACCAGTACATTTACAGCGTGACTGGTACCCCAGTTACATGCGTGTGAATTCCCCAGCTTGTCAATACGACACCCATTATATCAGACAATCGAATTATTCGGATTCGTTCTTTGGTCCAGCCAGCATGATTCTCCCGGCCAGCATAGTAAACATTGTTCAATGGCATTGAAATTTTGCTAATTTGGACATGTAACCCGGTTAATTTAGACGATCCTTGGAGTACACCAAGCGTGAACCACGCACAAGTGGGCGGCCTGATTGAGTGAAAACGGCGTTCGCAGAAAACCGCATTAAGGTGGCACCGTCATCGTGGCCATCGCCATTGGCGTGAACTACATCGTAACGAGGTAACGACCTTTCGGGTTACTGCATTTCGACTTAGTTAAGACAGGGAGGTATCGAGCCATCACACTATGACCGAAGCCACGAGTGGTGAAGATTGCGGCTTTTACATCACTCTTGTACATTGTAAGTACTCACATCATTTGCGCATTCATCAAGATGAAAGTGAGGTGTTTTGATGCGATAGACGTTTGTTTATTGTTTTCTTGAGACTTTCGAAAATTCGGAATCAGGATAATTCGGACATATAATTTCCCAATTAACGAGCTTTCATTTTATTCACCAAAAAAGCTATAGCCACTTTTCTTGCGTTCGATCATGCGTGGCTGTCTGAAGGCCTGCATTGTTGTGTGAAACTGCGAATTCAGACATTTAATGGGCTCACGGTGAAGCGCGATTGAGGCATATGTCACCGCCACCGTGCAAAAATACTTTCTTGTACTGTGGTCATCCCATAATATATTTCTATCATCGATTCGCGAATGGCCCATACTTGATCAAACAATGCACTCGCATGGAACGATTGACAGTTGAGTTAAAATGTGGGGACTCGTCGTAGATTCATTACACATGAGATGGATAAAAAACACAAACGCCAACAATGAACTGTAGTAGAAAAACAGGCAGATGTAAAACGTATCTTTGCATGCAATGGATTGGCAGTGCCGCCTACCAATCTGGCACCCATGCCAGTCTGCGCGAGAGATAGCTGTTTAAGCAAGCAATACTTTATTTATACAAGGTAAAGTGATGGTTATCTCCAGGGGCGTAACAGGGTGGGAGAAGGGGGGTCGAATTTATCTAAAATGTTTCATTTTTGCTTGCGAATATAGACGCACTCATGCAAACGCACGCACGAACATACATCAGGTATTGTATAGTCCTCCGAAAAATAATTGTGGCTGCAACCCTAGTTCTCTCACGCGAACATTGCCACTAATAAAGATATGAGAAGCCTAAACCATAAGGTGTCTTCCTTAATTCGCGTGTCTGTATGAAAGTGAGCAATCATCAAATTTCTACACCCCTTCAGAATGGCGATAACCCAACGAAAGCTTTCACAGCAATCCTCCCGCTGATGGCAGAGAAACCACATGACCTTTCAGTTGATAGTCGGCGTGTGTGTTACCTCTGTTGTGTCCGTCTCTACACGCTCTGCTTTCTTTTACGATGCACTTGTGCAATTTCTTAGTTGCTATGACCGCGAGTAGCTTAGCGCAAGGTCTACAGCTTCGAGTGCTGGCCACTTTCTTCTAGATCAGAGAGAGTGTTTGTTTACTGCGCTACTCAGTAATAGGCAAGAGCCTCAACAAGGTCAATAGCTAGGGGAGTTGGTACACTACATGATCGTCGATGAAAAAACCAGCAAGGATCAACGGACACGGCAAAAGAAGGTGAGAAGACAAAGCGGGAACTAATGGTTATATCGCCTTCTTTGTTGGTGCCTGGCGTCCTTGTTGTTTTTTTGTTTCTTTTTTTTCGTCCAAATTTCAAGAATGTCATACGGTGAAATTTTACCTAGAACTCCCCGTTACGGCTTACCTCATAGGTCGCCACATTAGGGTGGCACGCCGCATAGTTTAATCTTACAACGTAATATGTCTAACAGTAATATTGCATATACTGTATCGACACACAAACCTTGCATCCATCGACACGACCATCAACGGGCTGGACATTGAAAATTAGGTAAGGATATTTTGTCCTGTATTTTCTGTTTGAAGGTGGTTCCAAAAATTTCTATTCTAGTTCGTTTGAAATCAAACCTTTGAAAATGCGATACGTTATTCACCTAGAGATACCTTCCCGCCAAAATTTCACTCCAGTATGTCTTACTGATCAAAAAAGTAAGAAGCTTAAGCGTGTTTTTTTTTTAAGTCGTTCACCACTGCTCACTTAATTGCATGTTGTATACATACTAAACCATATGTATCTGCGTAATCATTGTACGTAAACGTCCAAGTACTAAATTATATAGGAAGACAATTAGAGCACTTATTTTACAATGTGATAAAGTGGTCATTCTTTTAAAACTTACAGTTTAGTAACATAAAGTGACTTTTGCATCAATGGCTTGGCTCTGACTACTTCATGGGGGTCAAACTACTTTGTAGGTTGCTTCAGTAAAACAATTTAAATGAAGGACGACATAAGCCATGCTGAATTGAAATAGTTTGAGCTGCTCAAGACAAACAGGGTCAGCGAGAGTCGCACAGTAGACTTGTTGGTAGTCTATCAGAAGCAACTGGTCACAGCATGAACTCGACTCAAGAGAGACACACGCAGTGGTGCGAGAATAAGTCTGGTTTTGGTAGTCATTTGCCTTTTTGTCGAGCGTAAATGAACGGGGTGACATTCAGGATAGAGTTATATGGGGTCTAACCGAAGAGGTTGAAAGCCTTGCACATCGTCCAATTCACTCGCAAAAGATATAGCTTTCATTTAAAAAAAAAAAAGCAGATAATTCAAAACGATGACAGGAAAGTTCGCCGGGGCGCGAACGCTACAACATGCATGAACGAAAAAAAAAAACTCATCCAAAATGAGCGCAATCCAAGCACCGTTAACCGCTGCATTGAGCCACCACGGCCGCCGCTTGATACACCCTATACCGCGTAGTTTACAAGCTATCAACCTTAAGTTTACACGCGTACAGCGCATCACAGTTGCGCAGCGAAATATTCACTTTATTGACGCAGGGGTGGAACGCGCCTTGCACCGATAGATACAGTTGTGAAAATCTCGGGCTGCGTGTAATGCGGGCGTATGAAGGCCAAAACGAAGAAGTGTAGGAGCAATGAGAACCGCCGCGTTTTTCAACCAACCCTCTTTGAAAGATCTCAACGTCAAATATCAAAGCCTTACCGCAGACCAATTTTGGTTACGATGCCCAGCAGCGCGGCTGTGTTTGATGCCTATGCCACTGCAACGCGCGCAGTACCCGGCGCGAGCAGCTAGCTACTTGCAAATAGCGAAAATTTGTGAAACATAGCTTTGTTAAAATTTATTTTACATTACCAAAACATTTTTTCAGTGCATGGCTTTCGTATTGCAACAATTTCTGGCATACACAATAAATGCGGTTCATCACAGTATAGTGACGTTCAATAGACATCGTCTTTCTTGTCTTCGAAGAATGCAAAGTTAGCTCGTGATTAGCCTACAATGGGACCTTACAGCGGGGCACACGATGTCAGCGAAAAAGAATCACCATTTCCATCAATTATCCGCGGCCTGTCTCGGCAAAAGGTTGAACAGAAGCGGGAGTTTGACTCCTTTGACGGCGGTAAAATTAAATTCTGTGGCCAGGGCAGGATGATCAGTAATTTCTTATTTATACGTGCAAATCATGTGCGCCAGTATTTTCAAAAGTAGACTATGTTCATATATGATGAATGGTACAATTGTTCGTGGTGTATGGATAACTATACACCGGAACTGCACAATGTGTAGCCTCGGTTGCTGTGCTATGAGTATACAATATACATAGAAAGGAGGACAAGGCTGGCATCTCGTGCACAAAATTCAAGGGCAAGTTACGTTCCAAAAGGAATTGTCCATCCGTATTTGTGTTTTTAAACAATTTATTTGATGAACCTCTCTTTGAAACTTGCGTTTAGTATCAGAGCGTGTTGATAGACCAGAAAACAATATATATATATATATATATATATATAAAATAAGGAAAGAAGTGTATACCTAAGGACTCGTTTTCCGTGTTTTAACACAATATTAGTTATATATATATATATATATATATATATATATATATATATATATATATATATATATATATATATATATATATATAATTTTTTGTTTTCGCACCAGTGTCAATAATGAAAAAACCCGAATTAGCTAAGGAAAAAGAACTATGATAAACGCGCATATAGATGTGACACAGACGCGTGCATAACCTGGGTATCTGCAGTATTTTTCATGGACCCCGCAGTTTTGCTTCAACTGTGCTCGGTGCAGGAATCAGATATACAGGACCTTTCCAACTACACTTTTCAGTAGAACCATGCTAACGTAGCCCCATTGCTGACACACTTCTCAGCATG